CAATTCGACTGTTCCCAACTCGGATTAAACAACTCTCTAAATTCGATTTCATCTTTAAAGAAATATTTTTCAATTAAAAGGCTAAAAAAAAACCGGTTTTTTTCTTTCGTTAAATATTTCGCGCACGGGTTTGTGGTTTATGAAATATTCGTTGGCCACTTTTATTTTTCGTCCATCTTATCTGAAAATAGTATAGATTGCTTAGTTTTTTCTCTTCTGAACACTCGGCATGATTTTAATTTAATTTTTTTTTTTTTTTTTAAATCTCAAATTTTAGTACACGAAAATTACACGTCCTAACCGAACCGGCGCGGAAAAGTAAGCAAATGCCGTTTTGCCGCGCGCCCCTTGCGGCAGCCGTACCTACAATTTCGTTCTAAAGAATCCGGAATTTCGATCGCGTCGCGTTCGCCGTGCGCCTTCGCGTGTAAAACGTCCGGAGTGTTTCGATCGAGTATTTTTCGTATTATTTCAACGCGTTTCGTGTTATACCGCCGAATTTGCGAAACGAAACAACGTTACCGCGGTCGCGGTGTTCCGCCGGTATAGGTAATGTAGCCGGTGACCGCGCGGTGCCGTACACGTCCGTCAGGAATGTCGGACGAAAACCCCGGAGAATCGATAATACAGAAAAAAAAAAAAAAAACCCGTAAAAAATTCAAAATCAAATACTCGCGCATCGAGCATTTCGCCCGAAGTCGGCCAATAGGTTTTCGTACTTGACGCGCGCGCGCCGATCAAACGAGATACGCCTAATGCACCGCGTTCTGACACCCGCGCAAACTGGTTATTTAACGGCGAATTTCTTAAATATATAGCGTATTACCATATATATATATATAATTATAATGTTTAATAATGTGTAATATAGGTATAAAATATAATACGGCCACTTAAGAACGCGGATCACGCGCCGCCGCGGTGTGCAAGTATAATTTACACGTTTTCGACGGATTATAATTAATATTATAGTGTACCTTACCTGTACACGCACGCGCGTTATACGTTTATACGTACAGCGGCATACGAGTTATTAAGTAATGACCGGTTATTATGTTGGGCACGCATTGTAAAATGATTTTAAACTCCCGTCGGGATCTAGCCGCGGTACGCGATTAACAATGATCCGACTGTTCGCCGATCCCCCGATCGTACGGATACCGCGATTAAAAAGTCGATAAGAAGAAAAAATACGAATACGATACCATAACTATACAAGGTTTACTATGATGTATGTATGTTATGGTTTAGGCGTTTCGATTGCGTTCAATTAGATTTATAACGGATTTGTGAAATACCGGAGAACGCAGCAAGGACGTACGAAAAAAAAAGACAACCGTGCGATATGTATGCCGGGACATTATAATGTTGTAGTGGCAATATCGAAAAGCGAAACGATGAGGTGAACTGAACACGCCTGGCGGGAGAAACGACAATAATAGCGGGATCGTGATCACACAGTATATAATCTGAGAAGTAGGCAGTAAAGCGGAACCCGAAGAGCAAGAGGCCGCTGAAACGTCCAAGACGGAAAAGAGAAGAACCTAAACTTTCTGGGAGTAAAAAATAAACGGTATAGAAACAGCAGAATTGCTGAATGGCCTTTATAAATCCAACGAAGAAAATATGTAATTGCGGTTTATTTTTTTTTATTTTGCAACAATGTGAACAACCGTGACAATAAAATATTTGAAAAATGGAATGTTGTTATACTGCTGATACAAGATAAATTTTACGTAACGAAATGGCTCTTGCGATTCGCCTATTGGATTGATACCTGCCACCGACATTTATTTCGTAATGAATACATTGGTTTCCAATAAAACACATAATGCCAATTTAATTATCCGTCGAAATAGTTTTAAAATAAAAATATTAAATTTTATACTTCATACTTAATACACGAGTAATTTACGTGCATTATGATGTATTACACATAATTAAAGTATACTCGTATAATAAATTATTGTGAACTTTATTATAATCAAAATGATCATAGTCTTAAACAAGAATAATTTAAAATCGAATTTCATGTAACGAGTAGGCTGTTATATTTCCGTTTTTTTTAATTTTCGTTTGAAATACGTGGTGCGTTCACGCTAAGAGGTACCACTAAATATTTCAGTGGATGATCTAGTATTGAAATGAAATTTTTGGGGTATGATAGGGAGTACCCAAATACACATTTTCAGACAAATTCAAAATCGTTAACCTTTTTGATACAACTTACTTTTTTTTTAAACGGCAACACAATTTTTTTTCTACATATTCGAATAGAGTATTTTATTTGAGACAATTTTTGTATAAAACGTTTTTTTTCTAATCACAAAATTGGGAAAGTTATTGTACGTTGAAATTTAATATTTACGAACAATCTGTTATTGAGGAAATTTGAGCCATGGTCAATTTATACTCGAAAATCTAAACGATGTCTCCGATATTTTGAAATACCCGTTTGTAGATGGATATAAGACACGAATTAACGTGAACGCACTGCATATTCGAAAACCGTTTGTCGAATACGCTTTTGGGGGCCAATAATTCGACATTTCTCGGGAGTCGGTTCAATGCGATAGACGGCGCTGAGTAATTTATCAGATATTGGGAAGTAATTTTCAACGTTCGTCAGCTAGAATAATAAGGCCAGATATATATAGGGGCGGGGTTCAGGGATGGCACTGCTCTCGGGCCAACAGTATATAACGTTTTTCATCCGTGCATTTTAATCATTAACATTGTATTATTGTTTTTAATATCTTTTCGTTGGTTTTTATTGAAAACTACACAGTAATGGTACGTATTGTTTTTATTTTATTAAATTATATCGAGTAATGGCTTTACAGATTTTGTTTTCGTATTATTCTTTTTGAGAGACTCGTTGAAAGGTTTGACCCCAGGGCTTCTTAAATGTCTTAATCCGGGCTCGGGATAATTATATTATTATTTTCAAAATGGGACGATGCTTTCGGGTTTCTCGTCTTTATTCGCCGGGTATAAATAATAATATCGGCGTGACGGAGCGTGGCTGTCGGTATTTTTTTTTATTTACATTTAATTTTAGTTATTCAACGCAAACTTACCTTTTTAAAAAAAAAACATATAATAACGACCGCCGTTAAACCCATATAAGGCGTCCATCATGCGCAATTTATACTCACTTTTTTTTTTGTTTTTAATAATATGTAATCTCGTGACGTGCGCCGGATGACGGATGGAAGACGCGGTATAACGAGACGTCTAGAGTTTGCAAGTCCGCGCGGACATAAATATTATGAATCTCGTAATATTATGTTGGCGCACGCACGTGTCCGATGCAGATACCTATTTTTCCTGCGTCGGATTGTCATTTTTTGTTCAATTATTCGGCTTATTCCGCAGAGGATGTCCCACGGAGATCTGACAAATGTAATAATTTTTTTTTCCGTACGATATTATTCAGTTTTTATTTTATTATTATTATTATTTTTTTTTTTTTTTTGGAACAATTGAACCTCACGCTAAAAATAAAAGACATACGAATGTCTTATATATATATATATATTTTAAAACTAAAAATAATTAAAAAAAGTTGTCCTGGGATAGTGGGGACGGACGCAGTCGCCGTTGTAAATGGGAAGTTGGGAAGGTAGGATATATACGGGAATTTAATCTATATTCGTAAGCTACGATTAAACATTGCTAATGAAATAACGATTCTGAACGGAGTTCGGTCAATAGCATTGCTTTTTCAACAATGCGCGTTTTCACGACAACAACGATTATTTAAATATGATTAAAAGATTAAAATAATAAAATCTTCAAAATAACAAAAATAAATAAAAACCGTTGCCAATAACAACCTTATTTTTAATCATTTTTAACTTAAAGAATCGGGTTTTCCACACTTGAATGTAAATGAGAAATTCAAAAAAGTACAAAGTTCAAGCTCACCTAAGACAAAATGCAACAAAAAAGGTCTCTTATTATATTTTGATTGTAGCAAGAAAATTTTGTAAACCAATAAAGTTTAATTTATAAAAACAATTTCTTTTTATAAAATCCAAGATTTTCATACATTTATTTTTAAACAAAATTGGGGGCCATTACAAATATTTACAAATTATGTTGTTGTTTTTATTTGAATTCTTTATTAGAACAATCGCAGTCGGGAATCTTAATTATATTACACACCTAAAGCAAAATGTTTTTAGAATTTTTTCGAAATAGTTCAGGACGCAGAGATAAAATTTCAAACACGGATTTGTATTACCGTTCCGTGAAACGCGTCAATAATAAGTCGAAAATAAATATTTTCGTGCTAGAGACCAGGGGATACAATAATACGAAAATATCATGGCCGCCGTGTTCCATTTGTCGTAAAACACGAATATGTAAAAAAGAAAAAAAAAAAAATTAAATTATTCGATTTTTTCGGGTCGGGAATTTCGATTCAACCTCGTCATGTCCGTGCACCCCGTACAAAAACCGTGAATTAGTAATCTAATAATAATAACATAAAGGTCTTGCGTACCGTTTAAAAATTATACAATTATTTTTATAATATGTAACATCGTGTAATATGCGTGACGCACGACTGCAGTATTTATTAAAATAATATTACAATGAGAAAAAAATGTTGCACCGCGAATCGATTGTTTTTCGATTATGCGGAAACAAGAGCGACGTTCTGTCGTGATTGCCACACGCAGCACGCGGACGCCGTAGTCTTCAAAACGTTAAAAATAAAAAAAAAATTACTTATAAATGTATACAAAGGAAATTAATCTTATCCGAATGATTACAATAAAGACACTACGGATATGACCCGTGTGCAATTTTCCACACCACCTTGGCGGCTATCGGCAATGGAAAGTCATTACGAGTGTTTGACGTTATTCGAAAGCGTTTGAGGTATTGCACGAGGCGCGTTTTTTTTTAAGTGGTATCCCCGAGTAGGCCTAATCCACTGTGTAACCTAACCTTACCTTAAATCCACAACATTGTACACTTTAATGTAATACGATCACCGAATCCCGGTCCTCGAACCTCGAAGTCGTTCCGCAGCAACCAGCAGTCTCGGCTTGAAGAGTTCGCGTGCAAATAAATCGAGAAAAAACTAGGCATAAAAGAAAGAAAAAAAAGATTTATACGAAACTATAAAACACTTCTATTATACCGATGAAAAAAACTTAACAAACTATTGAAAGATTCGAACGGAATGATTACGAAAATTTCAGAAAAATAAATATTGAAAAACGAAAGTTAATAAAACAAATTTAAGAAACTAATAATTTACTACGATACGATTACATACGCGTATCGTTGTGTATTTTGTTTGGAAACGTCAATAAACAAAATGCATATTATTATTAAATAAATATTCTTAGCTAACGCATAGTTTTTCGTAATGTTTATTATCGTGGAAAATTGGGAAAATGTATGTTTGTACTTAACAACAAACCATTGTTAACGAAATATGATTCCGAAGTGAAGTTCAGCTACACATGTGTTTTGAAATGTCGTAATATTTACGATTTTTTTATAAAATTTTACATTGAAAATTATATTAAAATGCTTAAAAAAAAAATTACTACATTACACTTCCCCCCTTTCTCCCCCATAAAGTACAGCTTATAATTAACCTCGTGTTAAATATCCAAGCATTTCTTTTTGGTCAAACAATTTTATCCATTTATTACTTATCAAATAGAAACTTAAAAAACCTATAAAATATAAAATGCGAATAAATAGCTCAAAAATCTCTAGAATATCTTAATTTAACCACGTCTGTAAAAGGCTAATATAAGTATTCTGTGAACATTTCATATCTCTACGAATAATTTTAACCGAATAACAAAAAAAAAAAAAAATTGAAAATAGTGAGACCGTTATTCTGGTAAACATTTCCGAATGCCCCAAGTTGTTACCCGGTTTTCCTCAATTGTTAAAAAAGTAACATAGAACATCAAAGACGATTTTCTCACTCAGAAACTACATACAATGTAAAATACATTAAATTATCGATGCAGATTATTCATCGGTTTTTCTATCACGTCTTTTCCTGGATTTTCCGAATTATTATAAAAACGGTTAAGAAAATCAAAACACAACATTCTTATTTACCAAATGAATCTAAAACGCAACTGAAAAGGTCTCTTGCCATTTTTCGATTAGAGCAAGTATACGGGTAGAGCAGTGCTTATCAAGAGACAATTTTTTTTTTTTTTTTTAAACTCATTACAGTAATAGAATCTAAGTCCGTCCGCTCATACTACACGCTTTCAAGCGATTGCGAATTTCAGAATAAGGTTTTAATTAATCGATTTGTTTGGCTAGAAAGAAGGTTTCTATTTATTTTTCAGTCCAATCGGTGTGAAAAAAAAAAAAAAACGTGTTGGAAGACTTTGTTGCATCATACTACTTGCGTGTATGTATAGTTGATGATTAATTTATATGAAAAAAAGACTGGCTAAACAAATTTTCATAACTGCATAGTATTATTATTTCTTATGTAATCCTTTTTAATATCGTTTGTTTAGATCGACGGATGGTTGTTTGTTAACCCTTCACGCCTGTGTGCACTATGAGGTTTGCAAAAAGAAGATTAAATGGTTTAAAAACCTAAAAATACACTTAAAATGTCAAAAAATACGCTTGAAATAAAAAAAAAAAAAAAAAAAAAAAACGGGAACCGATTCGGCTTGCGGGTTTCGAGCTCGAGAACTGATGTTCGGATGCATCCTATACAGGTTATACCCATACAGTGCGCCCGTATTGTACACCTGTTGTGTATACCTGCCTGTGCGATTCTCTGTTTACGTTACGGTCGGCGAAAACAACCGTCGGTATATATTATTAATATCATCATTATTATTGAAAATACTACATAATAGGTAATAGGTTTGCCGTAACGGCCGAAACATTCGACGCGCCACCCGTGTTCAGCGGATTGTCCAGGGGCGTCCGGTTCGTGTTCGCAGTCGCGCGTACTTATTTCTTCTTTCGTATACGTTATGCACACACATTTACATACACAACGTACAATATATTATGTATATATATATATAAAAAAAATAAAAAAATTGTCTACGGCACATCATTCAATGCGATGCGCGGCCGTCGCTTTAGTCATCGGTCATAAATATTCGTTATTAGGATTATAAAGACGAACGCGTGTATAAAGTACCGTGTATAATATTATACCGTCAGTTTATTATACGATCGGAATGACGTTACCGTTAATACCGCGTGTCCGAAAACCCCCGTATACGGGCGCGGGTAACGAATTAATATTATATTATTATGCGCGTGTGTAGCGCGTTTTCGACAAAAAAAAAAAAAAAAAAAAAAACATAATATAATAATTATTTCGTTACATAAATTTCACATTATCATTTCGTATATAGGTATATTATAATATTATTCTGGTGTGTACGCGTTTCGTTCGAATTCCCGTCGGTTTTGGCCAAGGACGAAATTATTATAAAACGTTCGTCTCTCAAAAAAAATTAAAAAACTTAACCCCTTTAAGACCGTAGACACGATTTTCAACTCGAAAATTAGGTTATTAGGTGATGCAATAATATTATATTATTGTCGCGGTATTTAGAAAGAAGAAAAATGTGAGCTGATACTGCCGCAAATACGCGCCGTTTTTCCTATAAAATTTTGTTTCCGGTTTTTCCCGATGATTTTCAAAACCCTTTGGAAAATCGAAAAGTGACCCCTGTAATACACCGACTAGATCCAAAAAGCCAACCGAAAAAGGTCTACTGTCGTTTTTCGATTGGAGTAAGTTTTCTGTTCGAAAAACGACATTTTATAGAGAGAAAAAAAAAACCACTTGTCATAGTAAAACCAATCGATCTCTCGCTCAGAATCTAAAATAAATTTATTAGACACGAAGATTTGACCTTAATTTTTTTTAAAAAAAAGCAGTAGACAGGATAACGATTCCTTAATGATTAGAAAAAACAAAAATTAAATTCACTTAAAATCCTTCTAGATAATTTCTGGTTCTTGATAAAAAAAATCACTATATATGTGTCATATTATAGTAAAATAATTTCAGATGCATTGTATATTTTTTCAACAATATTTGTTTAATATTGTACTTAATTTCCGTTTTTCCACGTGTTTCCTGGTTTTTCACATTTGTTAGGAAAACTCTTGGGAAAAATCGAAAAATGACCTTATTAAAATACCGTCCTAGTCAGATTTCCTTTCAGAAAAAGTGTTATCATTGTAAATCGGAGCAAAATTGCTAATATAAAAGTTGTTCACAGGTAAAAAAAAATAAAAGTAAAAATAAACGTTGTAAAACCAAAATAACATTATTGATATTAATGCAAGTGGTTTTTTGCGTGTTAAACTGCAATACTTTCACATCGGAATTTAGATTATTGTCGAGGTACTATATAACTGCGAGATTTTGGACTCGTTTCGCGATAAGCCTCGTAGCAACCAATCGAGTCCAGACGTTTTTGTTTTTCGGTACATATATAGGTGCGCATACAGTCGTCTTCACCAATAAAAAAAAAAATCGTTTATAAAGAGACTATAATGTTTTTTATTTTATTATATAAACGCGATGAAAACGATATGGTGTATAACCGGTCGTTCTGTTGCGCGGCGTTCGGCAGATGATTTTTTCACCGAATAAAAACAATATTATAGGTACAGAAAAAATTGACCAAAAGGACATCGCTCGGACGATTCGTCGCACGATTTTTGCACGGCGGGCGGAAAAAAACCAGAAGAAAATCAAAAAAAATCGCATTAATACTCGACATTAACGAGCACTGGGACGGTGTTCCGTTTATTGGCGTGGCCCTCGGCGTACGCGAGTCACCATACGAATATTCGAATAGTGTAAGAGTAGATATAGTCGAAATTGCAAAATACGGTATAAAAATGATAGTTAAATTGTCCAGTAGCGTACCTATAGGACATAGTAGCATAGTTCCTCCACATGTATTTCAACATTTTCTTGAAAATCACGGGTATACCGCGTATACTCTCGAACAGTAAAAACAAATTATTCGACGTGATACATTTTTATCAAGCCCTGAGAAAACTCACGAACTGGATTTAAATGAATATGGATATTTAATGAAAATGGGTTCAAGAAGTTTAGACGTTGTATATTATTCGTAACGCACTGATAAATTATGTTAGTAAAAGAGCCGGTGACGTAGGTACACGGCGGAAGGGCTAAGGGAGCTTTAGCCCCCTCCCCCCATCCATCGGCAGTGTCAAGTACAAACATGTAATATAAACTATTCAGGATCGGTAAATTATTACTTATAGAGTAACAATCATTGTGTATTTGTACTTCTTATTCATCTAAGTTCAAACAATAATTGTACCGCACAATTATGTGTTTCATGAAACATTTTTTTTAGTCAAGCCCCCTGTCTCCCCCCCCCCCATTGTAAAATCCTGGGTACGCCACTAAACCGAGCGTATTAGGTTGGGTCTTAGAACCGTTGTGAAATATTATTTTAGAAGCGTTTAAAATTGAATAAAATCATAAAATACGAATACATTATAATAACGCGGACAAAAGTATTTCACAGTCCGTAATAAAATTTCGATTAAAAAAAAAAAATATGCACTTTTAAAATATTTGAAATACCGAAAAATACAATTTACACACAATTGTTTGAATACTAAACAAGACCGGCGCCGTCGCGATCCGTATTGACGAAACATTCGAAATTCGAAAACGTTTACGACGCCGCACAGATTTCTACGCTCCGGGAGTTTAATATTTTTTTTTTTTTTTTTTTTTTTTTTTTTTTTTTACGTACCGGGAATACCATTACGGACATTACTAATCGTTATTTAACCGCGTTTGCGGTACGCTGCAACCGCGGATACCGCGCGTGTCCGAAAAAACCATTAAATCGCAATATCACGCGCGCCGGCTGCCGCAGGACCGCGGCCGTCGCGTTTTCCCACGTGCGTCAAACGGACGCCGATTATCGAAATACAATAATACCGACAATCGTTTATTGCGCTTAATAAACAACCGTATTATTTATAATAATAATAAAAAAAAAAATTATCCAAAAGATATAGTAATACGACGCGGTACACGAGAAACGTGACTCGGTGCACACGGGCGTGTATCATAACATCTAAACCGGAAAAAAATGATAATAAAAAAAAAAAAAAATCGCTCGTCCTGTGATATTATGTTATTATACATCGCAGACTCGTAAATATCCTACTACACGATGCGTTTACAATGACAGAGCCGCGGTAAATAGTATTGTTTTACGCGGTTTGAAATGTCGCAGACACTTCCGCTCCCGCGCGAACAACGCTGGACGATGTACAATTAAGTAGTACGGATTATATAGGAATTGCTAGATTATAGGACGTATGTTCACTTTTTTAAAACACGGCGAATATCTCCGGTGGGGGGGGGGGGAAACAAACAAATTTCGTATCAGTAATTAGGGTTCGGATGTTTATGCACTAAAAATAACTGTAATACGTATGCGTTTATGCGCTAAAAAATTACCAAATAATATGCAATCAAAATATGCGCTTTTAGCTGAAATACACCAAAATATGCGTGACAAAATTTATTTTACCTTTAGTATTTAATGTCTGTTAGTAGTTATTTAGTAGTTATTTGTATTTATTTTTTTTTTTTTAATATAACATATACATTTACAATGAAAGCGTTACTGTGATGTACTGCAGTGATACAATGTCGTTGTTTAATTTGTTCAAATTTTTTGCATTTCTGCTTTATTGCTCGTTATTAATTTAAATTATTTTTTAAAAAGTTTTAAAATGTACTGAAATATGCAAATATGTTAAAATATGTAAGATAAAAGTGATGTTATTTGATTCAGAAGGACATGAATCAAATTTGTAACCAGGTCAGCATTAAATTGGATAAATAGAAAAAAATATACAATTTAATAAACATCCGATCCCTATCAATAACCAATGTTATTAGTGTTGGATATCAGTTATACAATTCTTCAGTAATTTTATGAAATATTATAAAACTACGAGTTTTTTTGGCGTTTCGTGTGAATTTGTAAAACTAATAAGCTCGTCATAATGTAGGATTCGTGGATTTTATTTTATCAGCTCCTGGTAAAGGAATCGAAAAATCCTCCTGCGTGTACTTGTATGCATCGTTATACGCAGTCGACCGAAAATAACGGGGTGAAAGTGATGGGTTACCAAGGACGGCCGAGTTATTGAATAATATTAACTCGCGGTTAAGAATGGAACCGAAAAAAAATTTAACAATTTAATTTGGTTAACCGTTTTATTACATAAGACTAAGGGTTCATGTGAACATTTCACTTACTTATTCACTGTGAGTGGGGCAAGTTTATTATTTTCGTTTCTTGTACTATTTTCAGAGATTCGACGTAGAGTTTCTATTTATTATTATTATTATTATTTTTTTTTTTTTGAAAATTAGGGTTATTAATGTTAAACGTCAAAGAGGGCTTATTCAGTAAATATCTGCAAATTATACGTATTACTCCGCACGCACTATTGAATAAGAAAAAAAAAATCGTATTATTCATACGACTTTTACGTTTATTCAAATTATAGATTGTGATAAATTTAACATTGTGTTAAAAATAATTGAAATTAATTTACCGTAGTCTATAATTCGAAAAATTCAAAATATGCTAATAAGTTGAATGAATAATAAAAAGTCAAAATTTAAGTAAACGGTTCGAATTAACCTGGCACCTGAACTTTTTAACATTTCGAATACCCTACATAATCTAGTGCAGAGCACATAATCCGGATAACTGATCCGGATTGACCAAAACACGACAATCCGAATTGATGTTATCGATTCAGATATTAAAAAAATCGGTTTATTTACAAATTTTAAATTATTACAAAAGTTACGCGGTCGTTCCATTTCTATTTTAAATTTCCGGAATGCCCGCAATCAAATCCTACCGGGTTTTATGTTCGGATTACAGAGTTTTTCTAATCCGAAATGCGGATTAATCAAACTTTTGTCTACCACTAATTTCGAGTAATTAATTCTTCTTTCGCGAGTATTCTAATTACTTATTTATGGTTGTTTCGCGCCGATAAACGACTAGACGAGGTCATATTTTTTTTTCTTATAAACGTTAATCGGCATTTGATATGGAATTATTTTTTTGTCGATTGCACTACGCGTGCCTATACACCTACGTGTATAATTGTCGAGTATATTATTAGACATTATTTTTGATTGCACGCAAACAATAATTCGACATGGTCGAAATGTGCATGATATTATTGTATTCGATTATATCTGTATACGCTATCTTCATAAACAAGAGAATCTCTGGTAATCGCGAAAATATTTATCGATTTCAATAATAAACGTCCGGCGGGCACTCCGAGAATAATATAGGTAATTAATTTCAAGCATAAAAGTATAAGTATATAGTTGGTACCCACTATATCTACCTACGCGAGTGAAATCGCATACGATATTGCAAATCAATATCTGCGCGACAATAACAACAATTATTTTTTACCTCGGGAATAATACGATATTATTTGTGCAAAAACATCAATAGTATCTCGTTTGAATCTCGTGGAAAATCTCCGGGTCGACCAAGAACTACGGAGATATAGGCGACGACAGCGGAGATAAGGACGACAAATGCAGTGCCTTGTGCGAGAGTACTAGCGATGTATGGTAGACGTAACAAGGAGGAGAGAATTGCAATATGGGAAACATTAAAGATGTATAATAAAACATTAATGCGGAATTATTTCATGCAGGTGTTAGTTCGAACCGGACAGTAAAATCTATGGATACAGAAGAACGGTGAATTACCGGATGTATGACAGGGATTGTCTAGAAACCGAAGAAAAAGTATTTTGTTTACCGACAAATAACGTAAAATGAGATATTTTACCATAAAAAAAAAAAAAAAAATATTGATTTAAAATGGCAAATATCATATGGGCGCATTCGTAAAACGTGTTGGACGAACTATAAAATTCGACACGCGTGCCAAACACTTAAGCATGAACACATTTTAAAATGCGTATGAGTTGTATAATTATTATTTTGTATAATATTTTAATGGCGAGCGGAGATGGGGTTTTTTTTTTTTTAGGATAAAATTCGTGGTATTTTACGTACATCCGAAAACCGAGACCGTCTAAAACCAAGGCGTGTGTCGTGATAGGTATTTGAATAAAAAATATATTTATCACGCGTCTCGTACGATATTGCAACTCTCTCAAATATTACATTCTGTTTTCGCTGCGATCGTGCGTTAAAACGGTTTTTTTCTTTTCAAAACAAAAGTACGCAGCGTGTAATTTTCTTAATGGGGGGGGGGCGGGTGGCTTATTATTAAAACATGTATGTATAATGTACATGTATTTTTTTCGCTTCAACGCGCTTATTACACATGATACTTCATAGTGATCCGCAAATACCGATAATCTTAGGAATGTGTTGGTTTTACAATGATGTTTATTTTATTACTTATTTTTTTGCGAACAACTTTTCTACCAGCGATTTCGCTTCGATTTTCAATTATAGCACTTTTTTTTTGTTTAAATAAAATTGTACGTATTATGAAAAAAAAAAATAATAATAACTTTGGTGTTGAAAAATTGTATTTAATAAGTTAAAGCCGTTAGAGGGAGGCCGTCTAAACTTAAATCTTTCTAACTTTTGGTCTAATAATATATGCTTGAAGTGCTTTTTTTCAATGCTTTTTTGACGTTTTAAGTGTTTTTTTGCGAATTTTAAATGCAATTAGTCCCGAACCCAAATCATAACTGCATAACTTACATTATATAGATGATTTTTTTTTTTTATAATGAATCGACAATTTTGGAAGGTTCTAGACAAGGACAATCGTTCAATAAAGAGAAACACACGGAATCCAGGGATATTTACAAATATTAAAATTTCACTCTTGTTGCGTACTTACCGTAAACAAGCGTCGTGTCCATGTTGGATGATTTTCAAATAGCGACCCGCGTTTTGAACGCTCGGATTCGAAAAGTGCAGAATATGTTCATAAACGAATCAAATTGAAATCTTCGTGGATTTATAATCTCTTGTTCTCGGGATTGTAAACGCCTCGTGGCCGATGCATTATAATCGTGTAAACCACGGAACAATTTCGAATCCCTTTTCAAATTGTTTTTTTTTTTTTTTCTACTCCGGGTAACGTGTCGAGCGTTCCGGTATTTACTATTATCGAATCGTCTTTGTAAATAGGCTGTCGGCTATTACGATATCGCGGTGGTTATTTTTTTTCTTCCTGTACGGTTTCTCGTCACGGATACACGTGCGCGTATTTTTGACCTTTCTCCGCGCATTATTATTACGAACCGTCGTCGCCGGAACGCGTAAACGTTCTCGTCGAAGAGTCACAGCCGTGGAACGCGCGCGCACCGCGGGTCAGGTCAGCGCGATGTCTGCGAACCGTACGGGTTAGGTCGGGTATAGTTATCGGCAGGCAGGCATATTGCCCGTCGAAACCGCGGTATAACGGTGCAACAAACCCGGCGAACGTTCGCACGTACCGTCCGCTGGTGCGTGGGCGAAGTCCGGCCGCGTCTTTCGATTCGGCTTCAATCGATTCGCCGACGCCGTCGCCCGTTACTGTTCGCGCGCACGCGAACGAACCGTCGCACGCCTAATAGCGAATGACAATGTTCACCCGAACAGAGATTTCGTAATATTATTATTCAAAACTGTATGTACGAGAAGCCGCCGGCGAACGTAATGCTGTTACCGTTGCGGGTACGCAAGCGTTCGCGTTAGTCAGCATCCGCTTTGCAGCGCGCGCATCTACGCACGAACCGCGAGTTTGAACGGATCCGTGCGAAAAATTGCAAATAAACGTATTACAGAAATACGCGTAGCGTCGGCCGGTATGTCGGAATTAAGGGCAAGCAAGTTTTTCGAAAATAATTGACTCGGTCGAGTTTAGGCGTTTAAACAACGAAGCCTTCGATTAAACGTCGACTAAAAATACATTTAAACTCGTCGTAAATAGTTACGAAACACGGAAAAAAAAAATTTTGATCGGTTTATAAAACGCAAACTAAAATATTCGAGCTTATTAGTTATGTTTAACAATAAAAATAATTATTTGTAGCGATCCGAAGGTCGAGAAAAATCGTTCGTTTGGAAAACGCATACAATTATAACATTATAATACGGCTACCCAAAGTAACTCTAAACTATTCAGAGGAATCAGAAGTAGTGGTAGCGGCTCATTGAAATTATGAAAAACATATTTTTTTTTTTATATATATAAAGGTGATTTGCAGTTTTTCTCTACTTGACCCATGATAATGTTTTTGTTAGCTTATATGGTTTTAGGCTCTTAAGACACAATGCTGTAACGATTCCCATTGTCTCCACTTTTGACTCGCTACTATCATTTGCAGTTTCTTCCTGACTCTCGTAGCAACCATCATTTTTCGTGTGCTCTGTTCGTCCACCTGTGTTTCGGCCGTCTCGTGGATCTCTTTGTAATCATTTAGTTATATATCCAATTAGCTTTTCTAATCTCTACCTAATTTATTCTAATGCTCCAACTAGACATGCCATAAATACGGTTTCTAAGCTTTTTTTTTTTTTCTCGTTTCATATTTATTTATTTTTTTGAATAACGCCAACCGGCTTTTACAAGGTAATAGCAAAAAAAAAAAAATGAAGAAGATATTTAGATAAAAATATAAAGGTAGAATATAAGATATCACTGTTACAACATTAATTATATAACAAATTAAACTATACAATATGTGCGAACAAAAAAAAACATAACAATTAGGGATAGGTCAAACTGGATTGGCAGACCCAAGCATCCGGTACATAGGGTGATTGTGACTGAAAGAAGTGGAATAAGCAGCAATATAAAAAGGCGTATGACTGTGAACATTATGTAAGAGAACCTTAAATAGTATTTGAGATAAAAGGTAAGGTGCGTTTATAGAACTGTTAAGGAGTGCATTAATAAACTGATACTCATGCATTAAGGAACTGATACTCGTGCATTAATGAACTGATACTCAATATGATTACGGCGTGAACTCAAGGAAAGAATATTTAGTACGCTACTAATATCAGAATAGTTATGGTCTGGTGAAGGTAATTTAAGATTAAAAGCATCATATGAAAAAAAATGTATATAGGACACGCTTAAGCCGTAACTGATCCTTAGCAAGGTAAGGATGCCAGACGGTAACCCTATACTCAAGTATAGAGCGAACAAGAGCATCCACCAAGTCATCACTTCATCAGGTGTAAAGAAACTGTTAGATGCAAGATAATAAGAGTGCTTAAATAGGTGTTCTGGAGCACTGGAAATGTTAACAGGTTTGAAGACGGATGCAAAGTAACCAAGAAAAAAAAGGAAGCTGCTTAGCCGCCGTTTTTTTTTCGTCGGACCAAAGTGAACTTTCATAAGAGAATTTACTTTATTTTTATCCGCTTGTAATATCTGTATTGAATTGATGTTATTTATGACGATGGCGTTTTTATTTCGAAATACTCGTGCGCGGTTTTATAAAAAACAAACCGAAACGTGTTTCGCGCAGGCGCGCGTTTGTCAATCGAATACAAGCGGACAGAGAGTCGACAATAATCGGTCGACGACGCGCGGCACAAAACTTCGGTCCGTTCGAGTTTCCCGTCGATTACGCGGCTGCCCGTGTGCGTCGAATCAATTGTCCCGCATTGATAACGCGGTCGGGCGATGACGTGACGGGCCGCGTGTGTGTGCACAGTGCCCGCACGCGGATCGCGCACTTCATTTCACCGTATAGATACGCCGCGGACACGGATTTTACCGTCACCCGGACCGTCAGCGGGCGTTCGGCGATCGAGCGCCGCGCGTTAACGCGGTTAACGTGGCCGTCCGACGGCGGTCGTCGCAGCTGCGGGATAGTGGTCCTGTTCGCCGTCCCGAGTGGTTAGACGGAAAATAGACTTCGGTAAACGGTCGAAGACGCGCGCGGTAAAATATTATCACGCGTACGATAAATTGCGGTTGTTGGATACGCGCGAAATTGCCCGTGTATTCGTACGCGTATGAAAAAAAAAAAAAACCACGCAATAACAGCGATGATAATAATAATAATAATATCGTACAGAAAATTATTGTGTCGATTCCGAGCACACTCCGAGCGGGTGTTGCAACGTGCCGGACGACGAGCACGGGGAGGGAGGTAGGGGGGAGTGGGTGTTTGAGAGCCGGCCGTCTCGCCGTAATTTATAATTTTTTCATTATTATAACGTTATAATGCGACGACAGAACGGACACACGAGCTTTATAATGTTATTATTATCGTCCATTCAAATCGCGTCTCGCTTATGAATACGAAAATATATGAATCACAAGACCGCTCGTTTATTATACAATACGACAGGAGTATCATCGTGAAAAACCTCCACGCGCGCGACCCCGTCCAAACCGCACGTGTAACGTCTCCTGTCGGCTTTCGACGCACAATCTCGCGTATTATTTTTTTATATTGTAACACTATTAATATATATGTGTGCTCCGGGTCGTGTTTTTTTCTTTTCGTTTTAATATTCGTCGTACGCGACGGGGAAAAACTCCGACGGGGTTCTATATATTTACCGAAAATCGTGGGGCGTTCTCTCGAGAACTAACCGGTCCATAAACAAAACTTTCAAAACACTCGTCGCGGAGACAGGCTTCCGTGACGAATGTTTTTCTCCCGCACTCATTTATTCTTAAAAAAAAAAAAATGTTATAATGGTATAGGGTTTTTAAAAAATGAACTGCATTCCCTCCTCTAAAACATTAGCCTGTATATATGCCTGCTCAGTAGAAATAAATTAAAACAGAGTCTGATTACGTAAAATTTAATTTGATATTAAATAATTTTTACTATAAAAAAACTAATTAAATTTCTTTAAATCTCATTAATAATATGTCTCAGTGACCAATAATAACTAAAGCGCGCCCCCGGATTTCCAAGACTTCAACTAAAGGGGACTGATAATTTCACTTTAAACAAGAAAAAGATACTCTGCCCATCCCCCACTCCGACCGACTATAAATACACAGTTTCTCCGAAAACCATAGGTTTTGGTACACAGCAGTCATGGAAGAAATGATCGTGATGTTATCATTATAATACACGCCGCGACACCGTGTCAAGTACCGAGTTTTTAATAGGATTATGACAAATGATACGATGTTAACGCCGTGCCTGTATTTGCTCTTGACTTACCGTACGTGATACGAAGTCAATCCGACATGTAAACTCCGAACCGGTCGATTTAATCCGATTAGTTTACTACCGGCGATTGAGCTCGATAATACTGAACCACAGATTATTAATTCGTGTCACGCAGGTATACGAATAGTTAAGCAATTACTAAAAACCAAAGAATATTAATCCTACCTGGAACATCTATACAATTAATGTTTAAACTCTCGTGATGCGTCAGTCCGTGCGGTTTTTAGTGTTTATGTCCTTAATTAAGGTAAAAAAAAAAAAAAAAAAAAAAAACAATCTCTAATTACATTCGGCGAATCCGAATTTTTTTTTTTTTTTTTTAACTGTCCGTATTTTGAAATTCAAATGATTTTGGGTTTTTTTTTTTTATGCGTTTTCTAAAATAAAAACGTTATAAATTAAATTGGTTTTAATAAATCAGTTGCGTATACATATATATATATATATATATTTATTCAATTAATTATGACTAAAATATTTGCAAATATTGATATATCAATATTTAATAAAATCAGAAAAATCAAAAAACAATCGAACATATTTTTTTTCAAATACAACACAATACAATTATTGATTGTCGGATCTGGATAGAAAAAAACCGCCAGTGAACCGAATCCGTCGTGATATCCAAAATCCGAAAATCGCCGCTGTACAGCGAACAGTGAACGTTTCGAAACACAATTGTTACGCGGATGAAGGTCTACGGACGGTACACGGACAATTTCGGGGGGGAGGAGGGTTGCTCGGCCCCGTCACACCCTCGCCGATTCGCGGCAGTGCAATCGACGACAATCGCGGCGAAAAAATGTCTGTTCCGCGATATACGGGGGGGGGGGGATGGCGCTGCGCGCGGTTCGACTTATACGTCCGTTTAAACGATAAATAATACAAATCGACGGTATATGTCGACGTGGTTTATCGTTTATCGTCGCAGCCGTCGCCCGAGAAACGCGGTTCGAGTGGCCGTAAATACTCGCGGTATAATCATCCACACTAATCGGCTATTGTATTATTTTTTATCGGCGCTGTTTCGGGCCCGCGAAAATCGGTACTGAACGGTTCTCGCGTTTTGTCGCTCGCGCCGTAACGACGCGATCCGTTTCGCCGTTCGTTCGCCCGGTCGGTCCGTTTCCTCTCCGGACGAAACACGCGCGCCATAAAACGACCGAATCGTCAAACGCCTACCCACCGACGAACGCGTTTCGACCCGGCTAACCACCGGAGCGGCGAGTAAAACACTAAAAAGCAGTGTAATATACCTATAATTATCGGGTCTCGGATGTTAATGCGTTTGCGTGACGTTCGCTGTTTTTTTTCGTCCAACTACCCGTACGATCTATAACGCGGGCTAAGCTTTACAAACCCGCTATTATAACGCGCGAACACGAATACTTGTTTAAGGAATTGATTGCCATCATTTTTTTTTTTTTTTACTTTTTTGTCGATAATGACGCGATTCGTTTGTAATTATTCAAATAACTTTACTCGAGTACATTTTTAGCGATATTTCTGAATTTACGGAAAACCTCTACACGGTGAAGTACTTAAATACCGTCTGGTTTATCGTACACTTCATTTTTCGTGAAACGATAAATTAGCGCTATTTTCAACGTGTGTAATGAAATTTCGTTGTACATCTTTCAGCGATGCTGAATTCGACGTTATAGGTTATTTAGTGCAATAGGCGACTTCCGGCTTCCGAATTAATAATATTACGGAAACTCGGTCGGGGGGGGAGCAAAATGATGCTACACGATACCGTATAATACGAAAGTATTGTCGTCAAATCGTTCTGCAAATGTATTATATCTTATACGGATGTCGGCATACCGTACGTGGGCAGCTATTATTACAGTAATCGGGTGCGGTAGCTGATTTGACTTCGAAAATTATACGCGCATATATTTTATAGACGACTGCGACCGATGTTTGTATAATACAGATAAATTGTAAAATATCTAGACAAAGGCAAGAGATAATTTCTAAAATAATATTATCCAAACGGAGATAAATAATCCGCTTCTTTTTATCTAGATGAAAAAAAAATACGATTTCGTGCATTGCGTAAATCATAAAACTGAAGTGCTGTACGGCAGATCGGTACGGATCTAGATTCCAAAAAAGATTGAGCGATTTATATAACTTAATAATTGATTTACCTATTTAACCACAGAGTCATACATTAAATATTATAATACCTACCTAATATTTTTAATACATTTAAGAATTACGATTTAAAAAGATTTGTCTAGACGATTCAACTATTAATCTCGGATCACTTATTTCTCATCTATCCAAGTAAGGTAAAAAATTATACCTAAAGCGCAACAGCGACTGCAACGTGGCCAGGAACGTCGGTTGCTAGTGTTTTTACACGGTGAAATCGCGAGTAGATAATATTATAATAACGTAACATGTAGGTAGGTACAATATGCGATTATTTTCACATTGACATGCCGAATCGTTTAAGCTTCAGTTCCTATACATTGCCACGCTGCAATAATAATTACGGGCAACACAAACCGCATTTCGGTCTCAAAATAAAATCGCAAAACGACGCATCCCATACAAATGTACAATCGAATTTGATATACGTGAAATCTAAACTTCCTTTAAACATAATATGTGATATTATACAATACGGTATAATAGTAGAAATGGCTAAAACAATATTTTCGAAATACATTCGTATCGTGTGTGTAGCTGCAAGTGTATGGCAACGTTCGAAATTGTATTTAAAAATTTTAAAACGATATATACGAGAAAGTGCAGGTAAATGTCTTTCCTCGCCGCGGTTAATTATACCTACAATAAGAATTCGGAATTCTTATTATAGGAGGTAATGTTTTTGTCGTTAGTGTATCGGATAATGTGCTAAAGACTATACAATATAGAATAACATAAAGAGCTCTATTAATGTCGGTTTTTTAATCATTTTGGTCGAAACGAGATATTAAAAAAAAAAAAAAAAAAAAAATTGAGTTTCGGAATTTATGTTTAATTACGAATCGAATAGACTGTGGTTTTTAATTTAATTTTTCGGTGTGCTAACAATTTTTCTACGAGAAATCTCTTCAATGACCTTCAGAATCAACTTCAAGGGCGGTTTTTAGTAGCAACACGTTAACGTTAACCTAACCAATTGGTGCATTGCAGAGGTCATTATTCGATTTTCCTCTGTAGTTTTCCCAATAATTGGGAAAATATTTTTGAATTGTTTCTTGCAATTCAGTTGAACTGTGTTGTAGAGACATGACGTGTGTGTGTGTGTATTTGTGTGTGTGCATTTGTGTGTGGATTTTCATGCAATTTGGTATATCAGATTTTCCGAGAAATACTAAGTAATACTGTTAGTTGTCTATGTATGAGATATTTATTTCAGACGACAACACGACCGAAAATCCGTGTATCGTGGTCTATACTAAAGAGGAGTAAATCACATACAATGTACGGGACGAAAATTAAGTTTTTTAATCGACATTGTAATTTGTACATGTTGCTGACATTAAATTTAATGAAAACTAAAATCTACCACTTCGAAAAAATACAAAAATATAACCAATCAAAAACCCAAAAATGTTTAAGAAGTTGAAGACAATACCTTTAAGACTTCCTTTAAAATCCGAACGTTATAATCTCCATGAAGTCGGCGCCAAGTAAACAATTGAGCGTTGAAAGTTGGGATTTTTTCGGTGGTGCCCACTCCGATGGTGGATTTTACAGAAAATCGTAAAAGTATCGTCTTCAACCTCATATTAAAATTTGTTGTGGTTTTTCTCCTTATATTTTCAATTTTAATATTTTTTTTTTCCAATCGAATCACGCGTCGTACGTATTTTTTGTCCCGGGGAAGAAGTGCTTAAGTAAATTTTGAAAACTGCTAAATGACATAATAATGGTATGGTTAAATGGCTAAATTGTTAACTGACTTCATCTAAAAACTGCATTTAAATGACTCAAGTTATACGATTATTTAATTTTCAACACAAACCTATGATGGCGTTTGAACGCGTTTCTCAACCATAGGGTCGCGAATAATTTTGAATGGGTCGCTAAAGAATATTAACGTGATATTATAATTTTAGACCGGGTCGCCGACACAGAAAGGCCGAGAACCGTTGCGTCTGCGGAATACCACACGCACGCGCTCGCGCCATTTAGACCGGAAAACCGGAACGGGAGGAAAACAATCGCAACTGAGTCAGCTGTGACTCCGAGTTTCAACCGAGTCGGGCGGTTTTTCACGTCCGGTACCGAAGTTCCGTAGAGGTCGTTTCGGACGACGCGTCTTTTCGAACGGGCCGTCGCCAATAAAGCTCCCTGCGCGGACGGTGCGCGGCGCTCGTCGTTTTTCGACGCGTTCGATCCGAATGACGAAACGAAACAAATAATAATAATGAAAAAAAAAAAAAAAGCGACTTAATACGCTATGTGTGTGCGCGCCCCGTTCTCACGGCCGGCGGTCACCTCTCCGGGTGTATGTTATTATATTATATTATGAAACAGAACAAAACAGAAAAAAAAAAAAAAACCGTCACCCGTTGGATTTCCGACGGGCCGTCGGCGGATTTTCCGTAAGGCGCGCGCGTGCACCGAACGGGTGAATTATTGTACGGCCGCGCGCTGTCCGCGCGTACGGTATTATTGTACGGTTAATTGTTGCGCGCGCGGCTTGACGGGCACCGGCGATCGGCGTGCGGCTCCGCGATAATAAATTGTCCGGCGTCCGCGGACACCGGCCGCACGCCGCGGCCGACCGTGGTAACAGCGTAACACGGGGTACGCGCGCGCGGGGGAAGACCCGGGAACGGGACACAGGGGGACGGCGGCGGGGCCGGGAAGGGGAAACGAAAACGAAATTAACAACGTTATTCGGACCGGGCGGGACGCCCGTAACACGCGTCACACGCGCGCAATTATTATTACGGTAATAACAATAACGATAATAACGACGGTAACGTTAATAGTATCGTCGTCGCGCGTTTCGAGACGGGCCGAGGCCTCGGCCCCGCCGCCGCCGCCGTCGCCGCCGCCGACGCCGGGCGGGAGTGGCGGCGGTCGTGGGAGAGACGGTAGAAAGAGAAAAAAAAAAAAAAAACCAGACACAAAACCGAACGGCAAACGGAGCTCCGACGACGATTCACGCCCGCCGCACGTCAGGTAAACGCCACGCCGCTTTTTGTAAAATATTATTTTTCAGAGCGCGGCTTTTGCCGTGCGCACCTACGGTGTGCTATGCCGAGACGCGCGTTTTTTTTTCCCCCCCCCCCCCCGACCCCGTTTGTAAACGAACTTTTCTACCCGCGCGAATCTCGTCCCGCGGTCGTCGTCCGTTTTGTGGGGTGTCGGTCGAGTGCGTGACGGCTGTCACATCGGGGACGGCGTTTCGTCCGGGGGGTTTGTCTTTTTTTTTTTGTTTTGTTTTTTTTATTTTTATCCGTCCCGAGTCTCGTTTTCTAGCACTGTTTACGCGCGACTTTTGCGACGTTTTCAACAAGCTGTTCGTTAAAGTCTCCACGACTATTTTTCTTCTGTTACACATTTTATTGTATCGCAGTGTTTTATCAAAAGACAATGAATTACTCGCGGCGCAATTATTATTGATCCGTACAAAAGTACACAAGACAACGGCAGTATAAGAAATCGACCGACCGCCTTGATCGGAATAAAAGTCGTTCTCTACTTTTTAATTTTTTTTTTTTACATATTTTACTTTTAATATTTTTGTTTATAGATTTATATCAATGTAAGTCGGGGAGTTCAATTGGGAAAATAACCTGTGAGAGGGACGATTTTTTTTTAAAACTATTTACAATTAATAGTTTAATTAAACCAAATACCTATTTGAAATGTTTGAAGTTTTCTTTCACTTATTTTTGGGTTTTATGTGGATACATTTTTATTTGCCTATCGAAAATGCAATCCAAGGTTCATTATAATATAATAGTAGTTTTTGTGACACTATGCAAATATCGAAATCCATATCGTGACAAATTTTTTTAAGCGTTTAAAATTCAAATTTTTATGAAAATCTTAAAAATCACTACATTTCGCGAATGCTAATACGGCACTATGCTAATAGTCGCTCCCACGCGCACTCTCGTTTTCGTTTTTTTCAATCCGTTACAAACAGCACCCGCAGCACTCGTGTCGTTTTTAAGAACGAAAACTGGTATTTTTCTCTTTCAGCTAAAATATTGAAAAAAATATATATATTTATAAATTGCTCGGTTAGGAAGACGGGGGTTATACAGACACCATGCACATTATCGATCAGATTAGGATAATCGTAAATTCAAGTAGTGATGTTCGAATCCCCGCAGCGTTTTATAAGTTCCAACGGTTTAGTTTATTTGGTACGAACGTAGAGTTCAAAACGCGCGAAACAAATGTAAAAAAAACCAGTTACATTATATTATTCAAAAGCCTGTAACGGTAAAACGAATCGTTGCGTTACGTATAAATTGCACGTGCAATTGCAATTGTATAGTTTCCAGTAAAAGTCTAAACATAAATGAAAATGTAAATTCTATTGATTTTTTCGCGGGACTCTTTGACGATATCAGTTTATGTTGGGTGCACGGGGGTTGAGTTCGATTGTTTGCGCGATTTTCGAACGGTCCGCAACGTCACGTAGTTAAATTTATCATTTATCTGATTCGACCGCGAGTGCATATTCTTGAATACTAGTGTTAAAAATACAAAGTATACATTTTGCGTCGGGCCAATATTTCGAACGGTAACCGGGAAAACGAAACATTGAAAAGAACGACAAAGAAAAAACCGCCCTTGACTATCAAAATCCGTCACCAGGGTCCCAGCCGACTGGTCGCTGCTACGATTTTCTAATTGTTTGTGTAATTTAAAACAGTTATGGTTACCAGAGTTTTGTTACATTTTAGTCAGTAGGGGTGTTTAAAACCCGGCATTTCCACTGAGGAAACGAAATTCGAGCGTAATTGTGGTTGGAGAGTGGGTTGAATGTCGAACCCCCTAAAGGTACGACCTCGATACTCGCACCAAGCCATACGCAATCGCATCGTTCGGGGTCTGCAAGGGCACGCGAATTAAAAAACCAAACCTAACCAAGATCGCTTCAACCGCTTGCACAAAACAACTGTCATTCTCTGGGACGTTTTTGCTGTCCCGGTATTGCGGGAGCTAAAGAAAACGACCGGCTCGTTTAAAATAATTACGTTCGTGTTATCCGCCGATATTATTTCGAAATACACGGCAACGCTGTCCGTAGTGTTCGCGGTCTGGTATCCGACGTTCGGACCGAACGCGCGAGACATTGCGGTGGTCCGACGGGAGAAAAAAGCAAAAGTACGGTCAAGAGTAGTTTAAAAAATGTACAAAACGCCGAGCCGCGCGTGTGCACATCACGTTGCAACGGCCGACGGGGTGGACGGTCGCCGGGGCCGTTGTAGGCATTGTCGTTGAACGGGCATAGCAAACGAGAATGCGCGCGCGTCACGTAATTATTATTATCGACCGGTTGATGTTTTTTTTTTATATTTTTTTTTCCCATCATTTTTTAACGGGCGCCAGCGCACACGCGGAGATAAACATTATAACGGACGTGTACGTTTTTTCGTTTTTTTTTTTTTTTTTTTTTTTTTTTTTTTGTTTTTTTTTTTCGTATCGTACGCGCGACGTGCCGCCGTAACTATCGTCTTAATATGATGGTAATAATTTTTCGGTTTTTTTTTTTTTTTTTTTATCGACGGCACACCGACGACGACGACGACCGCGGGGACGTCGTACCGGTCGGACGGCCCCCGCGGGCGATCGCGCGCTCATTGTGACGGGTGTAATTCAATCCGGTGTACCCGCTGCAGTAATAATATTATTATCGTAACGCGCGACCCGCGATAAATCCGAGTGTCCGTTTGCGTTTCGCCGTACGCGCGCCGGGGCGGCACGGTGTGCGTGTAAGGGAACTGCGTGGATAAAAAAAACGGAATCGACACGAAAGACACGAGCAATAAAAAACTCGTCCGTGTTCCGTCGCCCGAACCGTTCTTTCCGTATGTATGGTGGTTTACCTCCGACCCCCGTCTCCGCCCCTGTCGTATCTGCACGTCGACAGGTGTACACGGCCGTCGTCGCGGCCGCAGACAAATCTCCGGGCGAACATTGGGCCGCATTGAGAAAATATTACCTATCGAATCGGATTTTTATTTATTTTTTATTTTTTCCCCCGACAAAGTCGCGCGTATTATGATTCCCGCGGTGTCGTCCGTCGCCGCGACGAGAGAATGAAAAACGATGCGGTTTTTTTATTGCACGTAATAATAACGATAAAAAAATAAAAAATAAAAAATAAAAATAAATAAATACAAATATAATAATATATAGTGGCATCGTCTTGTTTCGAGTTATTGGATTCAATACGAGAAATAAAAACCACTTTCGTCACCGTCGAAATGTTTAGGTAATAGTATACGTTTTCGTCGCAGACAAATGTTTTTTTTTTTTTTTAACATTCTGTTAAAACGCGAGTATCGCATTACGTAAACCGTAAACTCCTTTTCGGAAATAATCATATACACGCTTGTTAAAACGTCGAGCCGCACAATATACTATGTATGTAAGATGTAACGCGAAAATCCCACAGCTGTAATAACTTTTGTTCTTTTTAATTTTTGTTCGAGTGTTTTTTTCAAGTGATTACTAATCGAATCTATAATGTGCACCGTAGACGATTCCTCTGTTTTTATTTTTTTCGATTCTTGAAGACTAAAAATAAAAATTTTTTTTTACAAAAAAAGCTAGTCAAATATAATATTTCGTAACAAAACTGCACGGTGTTAAAAATATTGTTTACAAACGGCGAACGGTGAAGCTTCTAAAATGGTTCGAAGTTGACGATAACCACTGTATAGTTTTCGTCGTGAAATAAGCACTTACAGACACATATTTTAAAAGAGCGAAAATGACAGAGGGATTTAAAAGTCCCCACACTAACTCGTTGAATTAAATTTCCCAACACTACAAAAATAATTCACGTTAAATAAATTCGAAAACGTCCCCGCAGCCGCCCAAGTCTTCGGCTATCGTCGCGGATTTAATCGCCGCGTATTATGTAAAAAACCCAAAAAATTCATAATACCTGCGTAATATTTTGAATATTCAATTTCATTCGCGTAATGTCCCCCAACACGCGACCGTCACGGTACTGACGGGCTGTAACGTGACACGGCGACCGTTTCCCGATTCGATCGATCGGCGGAGAACACCCGTAACAAGCGTTACGAGCGTGTACCGGAACGAGTTCGCGCGGCCCGAGGCGTCCGCCCGGCTGTCCGTTTTTTTGTCGCGCGGACATCCGCGACGCCGAATACGTTCGGATGGCATCCGAGCGACCGGGCGGCCGTGCGCGCGCGTAATGTATTCGTGTGGGGCCGCGGACGGCGTCACGCGCTCCGCGGATCTGCCGGAACGCGAATGAAACGGGAAACGGGGGGGGGGGGGGAAAAAAAAAAAAAGAAAAAAAAAAACGCGCGGAACAAACAAAGAGCCGCGCGATACCGAGAGACGCGCGCGTGACGCGATTTCGTCAGACCGAATTGAAACAATATAACGCGAATCGTTTTCATTGTGCCGGCATCGTTGCACGGTTGCCGCGGCGTTTTAATTTTTATCGTATTCGACACATCCCGGGTCGGGCAACGCGGCGGATTCGCGTTACAACGCACTCGTTACGGGTCGCCGGGTTCGCGTAGGGTACACTGCGCGCGCGCGCGGCTCGTCGGTATTGTTCGGGTGGCCGCGAGGCGGAAAATCCGAACGCGCCGGCAACGACGGCGATAATAATAGCAACGATTACGCGTTGCGCGGTATTCCGGCGGTCCGTTTGTTGCGACGAGACGATCGCGTGCGGCCGATAGATATCGTTATCATTGTTATCGCAGTTAATATCTACGCCCCGGCGGTGTTGCGATACCCGCGGGCAGGCGCGAGCGCGGCGGCGCAGTTCCCCGGTGGTGGGAGGGAGGGAGGGCGTGTCATAATGTACACGAATTGCCGACCTTTTTTTTTTTTTTTCTGTTCATCGCTCTAAAACACCTCCTCCTCCTCCCCGAATTCTGTTTCGAAACTGCGTCTGGATTCTTTTTAGCGCGGAAAAGCTTCTTCATTTCGGTTCACGCGGTGTAACACGGGTAGCGTTGCAAACACTTGAAGCAGTTTGAACCGTCCGAAGGTGTTGGACATGAATCGGTCGCGATAAGATCGGGTCAATTTTTGTTAAAAATACTAACTGGGCACGGTTCCTCGCGGTAATCCACTTTTTTTTTTTTCAAATAGTTACCAATACATTTTTTCGTTTTAGCGATTTCAGTTAAAATAATTACTCGACAAATAAGAAAAATCGGAAAAACAATGAGTTAACCATGATGATAACCATGATATTTTGTCATGGCGTTAACAGTGTAAAGCCACGCCGCTGTTACTATGCACGTTTGAGGTGTTTTGATTTCTATATGCATGGGAACAATCCGTTCAAATCTAAAATCGGGAAAATTTCCATTTTTTTTTTTTTCTAGTGATCGTTTCATAATTTGAAAAGTTATTTTAAACTATTTAAGGGGGTCGTCATATCTCCCTAACATCTCCCCCCAAGTACGCCACGGGGACCTCTGACAATATTGTAATGTTATTCGAATCGCGGAGAAAATAAATATTAGCAATTTTCGCGATAGCACGTGCAATTTCAATTATAACGATACGGAATACGTAATTATATTATTGTACACATTACGTTATTATATGTATAAAAAGTTGCGTGCGGACCGGGAAAAAAACGATTTTGTGTTTAGTGGCCGCGGCAAATCGACAAAGCGGCTTTTACCAGCGAAATTGTGCACGCAGGGTGATTTTTTTTTTTTCATCACGAACTAGCAATTTTCTCGGAGGATTTAAGTGAATTCGATTTCCGTTTTTTTTTTTTTTTAACTATATGAATCGGTTAAGCTTTGTTTTAAAACCATTTTTAATTTTTTACCGCATACTCCATTAAATAAGTATATACTTTAGTTTTTCAAATAGGAACCCCCTCCCCTCTTTTGAACACAGATTTGAATAGAGAAATATTCTAGACATTTTGATATGCCCAACACTATAATATCAAATTCACCGTTTAAAGTTTAGATTGAAGTGATAAATTGCGTGGTTGCACTTTCGAAAATCGTCTGATAAATCGACGTGTTCGCGTCGCTTTGCTCACCTATACTCGTAAAACCCGTACGTTTCCCAGACGCGTTGATCCTATAATAACCGACGTGACACATCCGTCCGTAATATTCGCCCGATACCTGTTATGCACTTTCTCCCCGGATGTATTATTATACCGCCAGTCGGCGCACGACACAATAATGCACCCGTTTATCGTGTACAGTATCGTTCGAAAATTGAAAATCCTATTGTAGTTCGGTTTTTTCCCGCGTATATTATGCGTACCTGCCGCACGTGCATATAGAATTAAGACGCGTACGTATCGTGAACGGCATGGGTAGTTAAATCGCCGATTCAGCCACTCGAAGTACTTTCTAGCTCGGTCTCGGTGATACGAGTTGTAAATCGTCGACGTTTCTCGCGTCAAACGACTAAACTCCGTTAACGGATAAACCGATTTGGCCGGCGAGACACCGAAACATACTCGCCGGTGCTCATTGTTACAAACTCGATTCTTTTTTTTTTTTTTTTTGCACACAAATACTTACGCGTCCCGCTAAACCGGGCTCAAAGGTATATTGCAGTCGTGAGACAATCGCTTCGGAATAAACGTTTGGGCCTCGGAATTTAAAAAATAAAAAATAACAATAACAATGACGATTCGTCCTACTCGGAGTTTTGAAATTGGTGCCTTCATTTTGCCGGGGGCCCGTTGCGTGTATATTATTATAATTATAGTCAAAAAAAGAGGTAAAAGTGTCGTCCTTGAAGGTCAACGGAGGGAATGGGAAGGTGACGGGAAGTACAATCCAGCGATGATGATAAATTTGTGAATGCGCGCGGGCACGACGGCAACAATATAATTTAAAGCCTGTACGAACCGGATGCACATCCCGTAAATCCCGGTCAAAAAAAACTCGATCGGGGGCTTAATATAAAACAATCTTTTTTTTTCTCTAAACGATCGACGCCGTTAATAAAATTTACTACCATTTACCGCGATGGTTCATTGTGATAAAAACATGGTATACATTATACAAGCCCCTTTTTAAAAGCCATTTCGGAGTCGATAAAACGCGTATTTTTTCGACAAAACAGCATTAAAAAAAGACGGACACACTTCGCACGTGGGTGCAGCCGCTGTTCTAGGTGAAAAGTTGGGAAAATAGGACACAGGCGAGAATTTAATGTATATCTGTAAGTAACGATAGACCATTGTTAATGAAAAAACGATTCTGAGCGGAGTTTAGTTGATAGTGTTGTTTTGTCAACAATATATTATGTCATATTTTGGTAAAATGATTACAGCAATGTGCTTTTCCATGACAACAATGATTGTTTAAAAAAGAAGTAATAATAACAAAAAATAAATAAAAACGGTTGACAATGACAACCGTTTTTTAATATTTCAATCTTTTTTGAACATGAATGAGAATTTTAAAAAGAGACCTCTCTAAAGCACCAGCCAGAGAACATTTTTTTTTTAGGAAAGGTGCTATACATGATAATCGGAATAAGTTTTCTGATGGAAAATGTGTTAAAAAGTGAAAAAAAAAATAATAATAATAAAATAATATACATCATTGTTAAACCAATACAGTTCCACCCAGAATCTAAAAAAAAAATAATAATATCTATTAATAAAACATTCCAAACAAATTTCACAAGACTATCAGATTGGTGTATAGATTTTAGTACTTGTTAACATAAAAACTAAGTGGAAAGGTATTGTAAAGACAACTGAACATGTTCGCGATCATGTACACGACTGTAGTTGTAAAAAAAAAAAAAACAAATGATTGATATGTCCATGCGATTGAACCCAACGCAGCGAAACGATGAGAATTCTGAAAACAGATTTAAATTTGTATACAGTTGAAGTCTGTACTTTTTGTCCCATTAAATAAAGAAATTATATAAAAACTTAAATTTCCGGAAAAGTTAAAATCGAAAATTTCACATGTCGATGTATTGAGTAGTAACAGACTCGGTGTTAAATTTAAATCCGATTTCATAATATTGGTATCGTTATACATACACAGACGGAAATCCACGGTTTCTGATCCTTATATTAATATTCGAACTCATAATTTGAGCATTTTCAAAAGACGGCGAATTTGTTTTGTAATTTAATTTTTCAAACATATTCCTGGCCGGGCTCTAGAAACGGAAATGTTGTAGGCATGATTCGTTTATCGAACCTAAAAAATCACTCGCGAATGACTTGTTTGCCAGCACATCAATTAAACCGCATTAATATAAGTGTCACGAGTACGTTTAATATTTCGCCTACTGTTTCTAATAAATACAATATAAATTCACGTAAAAAATAATGCATATATTATGGATAAATTTTATTTGGACGATTGTATCGTTTATAAAGATAAACTTTGAAAATATACCTATCCAGATAAAATACAATGCCGTGGGCCTAGGTATGGATCTAGACTAGGCGTGTATCATAATAGGTACGTAATATATATATACTAGAAAAAATTCACGGAAAACGACGGAAATTTGCAAAAATGACTCGTCCGAAAACCACCGTCCGTTAATTAGGTATTAATTTTATTGTGTATATAATATAACGGGATAGACGATGATTCGTCGGTTTTTTTTTTTTTGTTCTTTTCCGTCGCGTTTGTGTCCCATCGCGAAATACCACGACGACGACAACGACGTATGTTACGCATCACACGTGTGTATATTTTATAGCTGGTACGACACGTACTTTCTTCCGGAAAGACGGCAGTCATTACGAGTGGAAAATAGAAGAGAAAGCGAGAATATTATTGTAAGTATACACAAGTATATTATTGTAAGTATTGTACCGACGACTATTACTTACCACTACTACTACTACTACTACTACTACTACTACTACTACTACTACTACCACTACTAGTAGCAGTACTATTTGTTAATACTTATTACTGTTCGTGTGTGCCCGCGAACCCGTGCGATACACGTGTGCGAAGTGCGAGGTGCGAGAGCCCGAGGTAGGGTCACGCGACTCGGCGGGGTCAAACGCGAGCGGCGGCTACATCACCGGTGTTACGACCGCGTTATGATAATAATATTAATATCGCCACCTACGCCTTTGCGCCGAACGCGCACTTGCCGGCGGAACGCGTAGAATAAAATATCGCCGATTCGTGTGTGATATTGTCCGTCACTACATAATACGTTACGCGCACACCGCCGGAGGACCGTATTATACGTTATGTACGGGTGCCCGTAGTAAAAAAAAAAACATCGTACGTTCGAAATACGCAGACACGCACAGAGAGAGAGAGAGAGAGAGAGACAGACCGGGTTCGGAAATCGAAAGTCATCGGCCGGGGCAAAGGTCCGGCGAGCGGACTTATTGTAATGCCGTTGCGTAATAAACGATATAGACGAGCCGAACTCGCTGCACTACGTCCGGGGCGAAGATCCTCTCGTCGTCGCCGGTGTTGCGGCGGCGTGTGGGCGCGAGAAACCGGAAACGGCGGCGGTCGGGTCGTTCACGACAAACGTTACACGCGCTTATTAGTATACCCGTTAGCACGTAACGCCGAAGAGACGGTTTTCTCGGTTTTCGGATCCCGCACGCCGATAACGACAATAATAATAATAATAATATTCTACGTACGCGGTATATTATTGGGTCGTTTTGTTTTATTTATTTTTTTTTTCTCGCCGTCCGCGTTAGTTGCGAAATTGCCGCGCAAGACTACGGGCGACACCGCGCGGTGCACAATATGTGTGCAGTTAAAAATGTACACACACACACACATACTTACTGTGTCGTAGCGTATTGTCTGTCCTCGTCGGGTAATAATGGATCCGAATCGCTCGCGAGTCCTTTCTCGGCGTAGAGCAGAATTCTCTACCAGCCGACTTGTCGCCGTGCGATATTTTTCAGTGTTTTCTGTTAACCGGTCCGAAAATAGTTATGGTTCCCAGGGTTCGGTCCGTGAAAACGTAACGTTTTAGCGTAAAATCGGTCGGGAAAACGTATCTTCGGTACGCAATTTTATTCCCACGGCTTCATTCGGAAAATACAGTAGGTGTGTTCAAAGTTAAAATTGATCGCGGTTAAAAAAAAAAACCGCTTGGCGATTTGATACAAAGTTTATTTTCTGACAAAATAAAAAAAAAAAAATTATTTTTTTTTTTTTTATAAATGTTAAGTACAAATCTTCGATAAAAAGAATTTATGCGATAGTGGTTTTATGTATTTTCACGTACGAGCCTGTGATAACCTATTTTAAGTAGGATTTTATTGTTTTCATTTTTTTTTTTTTTTTTGTGAATGTGTTCAAACGTTAAAAATATGTTCTCTTTGATCGCCGCGGAAGTTTATCGACCGGCTCTCGAGTCTCGGGGTAATTTCTCAACCGCACACTAATGTAGGCGTGTACAGTAGTGCAGTATACATAGTTTCACCGATCATCTTAAAGTACTTCGAGTTTTTTCCTCCATTTTTTACATTTTTTTTTTTATGACCATCGTACGCAATTAATTTTCACTAAAATATTTAACGCGTTTATGATGAATTAATATAATTTCGTCGTTACAGACGTTACATAAAGTAGAGACGGCGTTTAATGTTCTCGTATAATGAATGATAGTACACGAATAAAGTATTTCGAGAATTAAATTCGTCGTATCTTTTTTTTTTTTTTTTTTTAAGTAAATGTTGATGAGCAGAGGAATAAGTACCGATTGGATAAAATGTTTGTCTACATGTGGACGCGATGCATAACGTATATTATATTGTAATTATAGCTGTGAACTTAATGCAGTGAACAACCTTAATGCACAAAAAATGGTTTTTAATTTAATTTGTGTGTTTATTTTGATACTGCATGTACATCGCAAGCCTATAAATAATTAATTAAAGCAATATTGCCTTATTTTATCAAATCCTTATTTTTATCTAACCCGCATACAGCTTGGGTAAAATATTATTTTATAAAATATAAATGTGACGTACGTATACAACCTGTGTAAACCATTGCATTACGGAAAAACGGTTCTGAGCGGAATTCAATTGATAGTGATGCTTTGTCAACAACATTAATGCCATATTATAGTAAAATAATTAAATAGGCTCTATATATTTTCTTTATTAATATTTGTTTAATGTTGTAACGATTTTCCCGGCTTTCCTAGTTTTTCACATTTGCTGAGAAAACTTCGGGGAAAATAAAAAAAACGACTTCTCTAAAGTTCATCCCCAGTGAAATTTCCTTTCAGAAACATCGCTATCATCAAAAGTTGTAGCAAAATTGCTGGTAGAAAAGTTGTCCACAGAAAATGTTACACAAATATATTCTATAAATTTTCCCGTTTTTCGGAGGGGGGGGGAAATAACATAAATTTCTTAATAAAACCATAAACTTCTTCGCTCCGCTCAGAATCTAAAAGGAACAACACCGATGTCATCGGTGCCGGCACAGGTGAATTAAGGAACCGGTAAAATTAATTATTATGTATACTCATTGAATAGTCCACGGGGCATCGTTTAAACTTTGCGATTTTTTTTTTCAAACTCGTGATGTGTAGTTTTTACGAAAAAAAAAAATAATGGGGAGCTCGTCTTGTATGCACGTTATGGAGAGACGATTACGTTTTCGATCCGGCTGTTCGTCATCGTAATTTCAAGTTTACGGGCCTTTAGCACGACAATATAACACGATCGCTTGTACTGAAACATCGCGTATCACGGCGTTCGATAAAATTAGACTAACATCGACGTTGATAGAACCAAGTGGTTCCGAACAAACGTTTTGTTCTGCGCATTTTCTTTTCTGGTCGCGCGCGTATGGTTACACTGTAAATCGCACGGACCGGTTAACGCCACTGATATCAAACGTTTGTACACGACGTGCCACACAACTATCTCGGCCACTAACGCGTGATGGTCGAACTGAGTCGGGATAAATGTCGTCTCGACCATCCGGTAACACTACGAGACCAGCCGAGATACGGGCCGTTGCAGCGCAATCGTAAACCGACGGCATTGTCGTCGGCCGTTGTTTGCGCGTAGGCATTAAAACACCCGGCGGCACGTCAAATTTCCGAAACGCTCATGTCAACACGGCGGCTTCGACATTGTAATAATAGCAATAACAATAATCTTTATTCGCGGGAATGTGTTCCGGTTTACAAGACAATATGCGCAATTGCTGAGTACCGGGTTTATGCGCACTTGATATAATCGTGCGCATTCGACGCGCACGCGCTAAAAAAAATTCGAAATATGAACGAAAGAAGAAATGTTACGAAATACGCAGAATAAAATGTAAATTTTCATTATTGTTATATTATTTTTTTTTCAATTTTCCCGTTTCTACCGGGTTCTTCCGCGGGAAAATCAAAAAAAATAATCTCCGCACAGTACTGCCCGTGGACAATCGCCTTTCGGAAAGCGTGCTACACTCGATAGAGTTCGGGGCGAGATTTCCGATGGAATTTTCGTTGGGCATATAGAAAAAACGAAAAACACAAAAAACTGCATTGTAAAAACCCGGATGCATGTTACGCTACACACTGCAGAGCCTGAAAGTGCGACTGATGCGGCGCCGCGTTAATTGACGGAAAAAACGGCGAGTCGCCCGCGGCCGTCCTTTCGGGGCGTGTTTATTTCGGGTACGTTTTCCACTAGATTTTTCGTCGACGCGAGCGGCAGCGGAGTGCGGGAAAAACGCGGGGCTACGCGCGCCGACGTCGGAGCATGCGAAAACGGGGCGTAACACCGCGTGTGCGGTCGCGGCGAACCGGCCCGTCAACGGTTCGTCGTGGTTCACGTCGTTGAACGCGCGCGGAAAATACCGACGTACGCGAAAAATCCGGTCTTTAGACTGCGAACCCGACGGTGCGGACCGCGCAGGGTCGCGCGCGGGGCAAACCGTGACGGGTGCGATATCGCGGCGCGTAATGCAGGCGCTCTATACGTGCGCGCGTGTACGCGCGGCGACGCGTGTAGCGCGAGCGTACGAAGAGGGAAAAAAAAAGAAAAATGAAAAAAATTATAATTACGATTATTGTCGGGCGGCCCATTGTTAACGTGCGACGCCGCGGGTGTCGTCGCGCGCGCCGGCGACGTCGCATTTTTCAGCGAGCACGCGGTCGGCCTTGCTTTCTCCGCGGGCTTGCGACAGACTTTCCGCGCGCCGGGTCGGTCCGCCCGGGCCGCCGTCACGGAGGCCGACCGAATTGTCGAACTCGCACGACGACGGCGGCGATAACGGTGAGATTATCACGCGCGCGCCGTAAACTTTTCGCGCTCGTCGGGGTTTCTCACTTCTCCGCTCCGTCCCCCGCCGCCGCCGCCGCGACCGCGACCGGTGGGAAAATACGCGAACGCGCGGCGCTTCCCGTCGAAACCGGGCTGGCGGGCGGGCGGGGGGGCGAGTCGAACGTTTTTTTTTTCCATTTGAATTGATTTGAGTTTTCTCTAGTAAAATTATTCCGAACAAACCGCGCCGCGAGCCGAGCTATACGAGTTGAATTTAAAATTTAAGTCGGACATTTTCAGGATAACCGTAAATTAAGGTAAAAGTCGCGCGTTTGGGTTAGAACACTTTATATCCCATGTCATGTCCATCCGTCCGTGTAGCACGCGTATTACGATTGTTATACGGTTGTTGATTCGGTTGACGAGGAGACATAATTATTACAATGCCATACGTTTCGTTATTATGTTCGACGCGAAACGTTTCCCGTCAACAGTCCAAACCTCACGACATTGTTTTAGATTTCCGCACGGCATAAGCGTAGTACGATAAGCGAGTTTGGGTGGTTTAGTCGGGTCGGGTTATTTCAAAATCGTTTATGGAACAATTACGGTTTGTGTTGTTTAACGAAAAAAACCCAGTTGTTTTCTAACATCGTTAGTATTATTATAAAAAAAAAAAAAAAAAAAAAAAAAAAAAAAAAAAAAAACAGAAAACAGTATTCGATTTAAAAGCGATCGAACAAAAACGACTCGTGACCCGTGATTTGACTTTTGACTTTTCGACGCTGTACAAACACGGTCGTTGTCCGGATCCGCTTCCCACGGCGCCATCCCGGACGCGGTTTCGCGCCCTCGGGGTGTTCGCGAGGGAAAGCCCGCCCGCGCGGAACGCCGTGGCCCGTAACCCGCACGACCCGCGCACGCCCGAAAACCGCACAATCACCGGCCGACATCGGTGCGCCCCGGACGGGCGTTCCGTGTAGGCCGGAAACGCGTCGCACGCCCGAGCATACGACCGGGCGACGGTCGCACGGTCGTGGAAATTACATTACGGTTTACGTGCCGGGTGTCCGCCGCCTTCGGGCGCACACGCGCATCTCACGATATCTTGCAATAGAAATATGATAGAGAACGACAACAACGACAACAGCGACAACAGCGGCAACAGCGGCAATAGCAATAACGCGGCGACGGGTTAAAACGCAGAACGTCCCGCACGGCCCGTCCGCGGGTCGTTTCCCAGTCCCGGGCCGGGCCCGGACCGGAACCCGCGGTCGCGGCGCTTCCGGTCGGAAACGGCGGGGCAATTGTTTTTCAGCGCAGCTTAATTAGTTTCGATTCGAGCGATTCGATTTTCGCAACATTTAAGGATTGGTGTGCTGTGGCGATCAGTGTCGGCCCCGTACGGGCGTATTCGCATAATTATATCTATGTGTCTATGTTTTATTTTCCGACGGATTTTTACGTTATTTCCGTGTAACTGTACATGCGTTAAGGTCTTGCCAGAAGTCTAAATTTGTATACCTATATGCGGACTAACGTAATCGGATTTGTATTTTTATATCAGACACAAAACGAGTGGGTTAGGTTAGGTTATTTATATTTTTATTAGCTGCGCATAATTGGTACCGACTTGATTTTCGTCGATTACGACCCGCGTCCTAAGAAACACACGGCACAATTTGTTTACTGTCGGCACAGTATTATTATGAATATCTATAGATAAACTGATATTCGGAATACATAAATTGCGGGGTCCCGCGCGGTCGCACCGATCGCACACCCCCACCCGTTGGTTTTTCAAACGAGAACCTCTATTAAAAATTCCGTAAATAGACGATGTATTACTTTGAAACACATTTTGATGTCGACATTTTTGATTTCCGTCTACCCGCTTAACGAGACATTCCGCTTTTAAGTTTAGGTAGCGGGAGAGTATCATCTGTGCTCCAACTACTCTACCCGGCGTAAGTTCTCATCTGAAAAACCAAAGTTGGTATCACCACGGGATACTCCTTAAATGTTGTGGAAAATCTAATTGTTTGAAAACGTCGGCGTCGACTACACTTAAGAATACCGAAAATCAGAAATTGAATACACGCACGATTTGACCGAAAAAAAAAATGGGGTGAGCACGCTTAGAGAACCGCTCTGTATATGTTTCCGAACTGTCGATAACTTCCCGCATTACAATATCACAGGGACCGCGGGAAACGAATTCCTCGGGATATTTTTTAATAGGGTTTTTCTTTTGCCGCTGCATTTCGTATGCAGCAAACGTGTACGATTTGACACTGTAAATCATTATACACTACACAGGTGTAGAATCGAGGGGTTCCCTAACTTTTCACGCGTATTTATAGTAAAAATAACGACGCGCGCGCTTTTCACTTATTGATTTCCGACAACGCGGACCCCTTGCCGACCGGAATAGACTCGCGGGGGCCATACAGATCCCCTCCTGTAGAAACCGCCGGTGTAGTCTCGGTTGAAGTTTCACCCGCGGGACCGCAATTAAATAAACATCGGGAATGTTTCGAATGTTTGTCGGACGTAAATCCTGAATTCACCGAAACCCCCCCGCAGCCGGACGTACGCAAACTGCCCGTCGTTTCAAGGGCATGAAAGCGAGTATGACCTTAACTCTCCCCCCGCCCCCGAAATGGTTTTTCACCATTTTGGCGTACTGCGCTCGATCGGGTGGCGGCGCACGGCCTCCGAAAACGCGTGAACCGCTTCGCGGTGCCGCGGGAACGGTGGGCCCGACCCTCGGGCGGAACCCGACGACACCGATCCAGCGTGACGTCGCGTCCGGAGCGGACTGCGCGTGCACGATCCCGATTGCGATACCGTCGTTAATGCTATTGCACCCGTACCTATACCGTTGTCGTGCGACCGGAGGAATTCCGATTGTACCACACGTCATTATTATTACGATTATTACGATTATTACGCTCGCGGACGATTACCACGATTACCGTGATTACGACGACGATAATTATAACGAACGCGCCGCATCCGCGCGGCCCCGAAACAATGGACCGCGGATGCGTGCGTTCGTGCGGACGGGCGTTTCACGGTTTCGGGTTTCGTATATTATTATTATTATTATTGTTATTACGATCGTAACGCGCGTTGCTAGTGTTCATAGAAAATATTATTCAGATCGAATCGCGACACGTTCGACGACGACGACGACGTGACCGTCCTTGAGACAGATACGCGCGTCGTGCGCGCGCTCGTGGAAAACCCTGTACGGTATTACGGGCGCGACAATATCATCGCTGCGCGTAAACGCGTCGTCGCGGTTAGGAAAAACAAATCGAGGCGTCCGCGTATCTGCGTTATCGTGCACACGGTTACACGGTCGCGCGAACGGATTCGATAAAAACACGTTTCCTTTCCGTTCCCGTCCCCCCCATAAGAATTCCCCGGATCGGACCGAACGACCGTTTGCGCCGATGATAATAATAATTATAATAATCGACGACGGTGATTAATACAACGTGATACGGAATCCGCGAGCGCCGCGACCACGGAGCCGCGCGCCGAGCGTCCCTGCAGCCCGCGGCGGCACCCTACTCATTATCAAGAGAGGCCCGCCGGAGTCCTTGCGCGTACCGCGGTCATGACCGTCTGCCGTGTTGTTGTTTTTTTTTTTTTTTGTTCGTTCTATAATGTGGGAACTGCAGCGGCGGCAGCAAGCAGCGGTACGCGTGCGGGTCGGCGCGGGTTGGGCAATCGAACGCGGATTTCGTAACGACGCGCTCGTTTTCGTTCGTAACAACAATAACGATAAAAGCGCCGTCGGCCGTTTTCCGCCGCGCCGGGGCGGGTTCGTCGTCGGCGCATCACGCGCGCGCGCTCGCTGCGTCGCCCATTGTTGTTGTTGGCGGCGGTGAAAGTGACGGTTTTTCGTGCCCGCGCGCATTTTCCCGCCGCCGCCGCCGCCGCCGTCGTCGGGGCCGCGGGTTCCGAAAAAAAAAAAAAATAAAAACTTCCGCGCGGCGGCGATCACAATCACGACCGCGGGGCGGCGGCGCCTCGTGCGTTAATAATAACAATAACATTTTATCGGCCGTCCGCGCGGTCACGTTCGCGTACGGCAATCGCAACGTGACGATATCAACGGCACAACGGCCCGACTCGCTGACGCTGACGGTAACCCGTTGTCGGCGGCGAAATCGGAGTAGCGGCGATAAAAATCAACGGACGGCGAAGACGACGCGAACGCGGGTACGAAATAATAACCGGGCAAAACGGTATCGTAGACCGAGCAAAGGACGAAACGCAGCCGACGGGGTTCGCGCGTCGTGCTCTTGAATGTCAGCGATGCGGTTCGGCCAATGGTTTCGGCCCGCTTCTTGTATTGCGCGCGCGATTCACAGTTTACGATACGAGACGGGGCCGTGTTCGGTAGTTGAATCTGTGAAAAACGTAGACTTGATTTGCGGGTTCGGACAGCGGCGCTCACTAAGTCGTTTTCCCGCCGCGTACCGTCGTGCGCCGGTTTCGATCGGTTTAAATTGATCGCCGCGATACTGTCAACGAGACGAAGACTCCGGTGTTTCGATCGCCGTCGCGTCGTCGTCTGGCTGCCGCGGCGAACGCCGAACGTTCACGCATTGTTTTGAGTACGGGTTTTGAAGGCGTTCGCTTTTTTTTTTTTTCTATTGCTCTAAAACGAAGCTATGTGTGAACTACGAATTCGATTTATACTATTTAGAATAAAATGTCGTACAATTTTTTTTTTTTTGCTTTTCTTTAGCGGTTTTTCGTATATCAATGCTGTTTCGGGTATTTCGGGTACTTCGTTTTGCTTTTAAGTCACATCTGTTCAAAATGTGTTCTAAATCAACGCATTTGAAACGTTTATATTTATTTTACATTACATAACGCGTTCCGAGGTCACGGCTGGCTCAATTGATTTTATCTCGTCATGTTTGATTTACGGATATATTTATCGATGTAATTTGAATAATGTGATTCACGCACCGTATGGTATATATAGCAGATTCATTTATCTTGAAACGGCAATAAACACAAAAATATGCTCTTGTTCTGGAAATCAACTACTCAGAATTACAGTTTAATTTTCGTTGTAACACCGTATGGTTCGTTTTTTACGAAATTTATAATGCTTTTTTTGAAGCTTTTTTGGAAGATTTATACAGCTTTATTGTTTTTTTTTTTTTTTTTAGTGTTTTTCTGTAGTGTTTTATTGCTTTAACATCCGTACTCTATATATAATACTCTATATATAATTATGATAATCGTAAAAAAACCACACCTAAAAACCAATCCGAGAAAAACGTATTATCGTAATACTGTATGACAAAGTTCCTAATCGGTCTAAAGGTATACAAAAAAAAAAAAAAAGATACAGACATACTTCGCACGATGGGCGGGCCACTATTGTAGATGAAAAGTCGCGAAGCAGGGGCGACTCTATGGGATAGGGGCCATAGGGTAATCGCTTCCCAATACATTCCTCGTTCCTCTCAGAAGTTAATATTAAAAAAAAAAACACACTTATTGGATTGTAAAACCGCAATTAGAGAACTTCCCCGCTCCGACCTGTCTGAAATAAAAACGCGTGATTCAAATTAATATTTAATCGATCTTTAATTGGATCACATATTTTTTTTAAATGTTTTTAATAATCATAAACTTCGTATGTAATAGTATGATTAAAACACATTTTACATAATATTTTTTCCGGCCGAACATAGATGCTTACGAAAATGGTTAAAACCGCGGCATTTCAAAACATACTGATATTTGTTCGGAATCGTTTTTCGTCGGCAACAATTGATCGTAGTGTACACAGATTTTAATCAAATAACTTTATATATGATGTACAGCTCTACACTCCCGAATTCCTATCTGCAATACTGCAGTGGCGCACCCGTCAGCAGCGTCAGCTCTTAGTACGGCCCGTCAGCCGTAGTTTTTCGGCTTTCTCGTTTCGAACTTTCATCATCGTCGCCGTATACGTTTCATACGGCGACTCATAATACGATACGATGGAAGAATTCGATTGTAAAAACATGATATTTTGACCCGGACGAACAATATAATAGATAGTTGTATTGGGTATACACAATGTGGGTAAATTATACGAGGCTGCATCACCATTAAATCAGTACCTTTCGAAGTACCTGTACGATATAAAACAATATTTTGTCGGACGATTTATCATCTCGTACATCGCGGATCAGCGGTGCAGGTACTCTAGCTCGTGCAAACACTTTCGATGTCGTATTTTTTTTTTTTCCAAAGACAGGCCAAACCGCCACGGTGATCTATGACCGCGCTGACCGTTATGATATTGTCGATTGCAATCCGTTTTCTTCGGCATTATAACATTACCTAGGCGTATGCATTATTACATTAACTCGTTTGAACCGCGAGTGAGAGGAGAATGCCTACGGGTATACTGGGCGAATAACGATAAGGGGAATATTGTATTTCCGTCGATTTATATTAGAAAACCGTTGACACGACAACGTGTGTTCGTATATTAAGTACAGAGCGAAAAACGAAATCATAATAAATAGGTCATCTCGGGGGTCATCGTCATAACTTAGCCTCAAAACTTTATGAGAGTTTTGGCCGCCACTACCGCCGACCTCCAATAATATTACGGTCCTGCATCTTTTCCTATCATCAATTCCTAACTTCACTGGTTTCTTTTCTGTTTTCGTTCCTCGACCCTATTGACGTGGCTGGTTCTAAGCGGTAACTCGATGATTTCACTTATTTCCGCATAACTTCTTCTACGTCCAGTTATTTAGTTCGTTGTCAAAAATCGTATAGGCAAGTTAGTCTTCAAATAGTCAATAATATTGTCTTGAACATAACATTTTGTCTAAATAATTTAAAAAATAGTTAAAAATAGCCGTCGTGGTATTTTGAATAGTAATGATTGTCGTGAAAATTGATATCCAACGTAATTTTTTCCGAATTTCGGTACTGTCACTCGCTTTTTTTGTTTTTTTTTTTTTGTTGCTAAAAAAAATGACAGAACTAATTTATTACGTGCTACGGGTACGAATATCGCAATATTTCGGAGACGGTGGTTTTTTTTTGTAATTCATTCTAATATTATTACTGTGAACTGCAGCATCGCTATATTAAATATATATATAGGTACGTACGAATACGAAACCGCAGCGGCGGACGATGATGATGAGTTTGTTTTAAACTGTAACTATCGCGAAATGCAATTACTCGAAAAACACTCGACAGCCTATCTACCTATCTATATATAGGTACTTTCGATCATTATTTCGTTTCAAACAATTTATTATTATCGCAATTATTGTTATTCGTTATCGTGTGACGCGCGTGCGTTTCGAAAATGTTTATCGGTGCCGGCGGAGAGATTCTTTCGCCATTTCGAAATATCAATTATTTCGGCCGTCATAATATTATTATTATTGTCATAATGACATGGCGAGCGGATAATAACAATACCGATAAAAATCGGTACGCTATATTTGGGTCGGCTACTAAAGGCGAGATGGAAAAAACGGCTTGGTTTGGAAGAAGAGTACTTGGAAGAATTTACGGGCCTATTTTAGAAAATGAAGCGTACGGGAAAATAATTGTAATAGAGAGGTTCAACTCTTGGTTTACTGAAGAAAACCCGGAGTCAATGTTTACCTTATGAGTAAACGAATTGAGTGGACGGGCCATGTCTGGAGGCCGAACGGATTGTCGAAGAAACCTTTGGACGGGAAATTTTTCGGGAAAAATCCTAGACAGCGCTGGGTAGACGGGGCCAACTAAATGATTTCGAAAACAAGTGTTCACAGGGAGTAATAATAGAAGGGACAGCGTCGACAGAGATAGACGGAGGAATGTAGCTGAGGCACCGAAAGTCCTTCGAGGACCCTAAAAGCTGAAGAAGAAGAGAAGAACATGAAATAATATTCGGGCGTACCGGTATACTCGCAGAATGCACCGTTGAAAACGCGTACGATACTTCAATGTATTACAATATTATTGTTTTGGACGGTCGGTAATCGGGAAACGCGTTTTTGAACACGATATTTGTTTACGTTTTATTACCCGGGTATTGGGGCTACGAATAAAAAACCAATACCGATTCCTCGCTCCGCTCGAAATCTAAAACAAATTCATTAATTACAGTACCTATACTTATGTAATTTTATTGTTTTTTTTCCCCTTAATAAATATAAAATATTAAATTACGTTACAGGTATGCGTAAAATAAATTTAAAAAAAAAAAAAAAAAAAAAAAAAAAACAGTAAAATAATATCAATTATAATAATTATAGTCGGCCGATTATCGAATTCCATGGTATAAAAACCGTTCGAATTATTGGTCTGGTCACTGATATCAGTGACTTTTCCGGTTTCTTCCCTGTTTCCTGTTTCCTATCATATACCTAAATGACTCGAATGAAAAAAAAAAAAAAAAAAACCCAGATCTTTGAAATCGAATTATTCGTATGTGGAAAAATAACGTCCCCGAAAATATATTGCAATAATAATATGTTATTATACGGTGCGTGTGTCACGTAACACCGCCGGTACGACGAGTTTGAAGTCACACGGAATTATTACATTATATTCATAGTAGTTTTTTATTATTATTATTATTTTTTTTTTTCCGATGACCGCGTGGGACCACTGTGACGCGTTTTTCGTGTGTCGAAATCCACCTTATTACTATTACTATTATTATTATTATTACTTAACGCCGCCGTCGAGTTCGCCCCGTAACCACCGGGTCATCATAATTAAAACGGTCGTCTTGGCCGTACGTATTATAGCCGATATTACACGTTGTGTTTACACGCTCGCGTCGCGGCTGTTACCGAACGCGGTCGTTAAAAGAATTGAAAAAAAAAAAAAATAATAATAATAATAATAAAGAGCGAAATGTAATACCGCGTTTAACCGGTATTTTAACGTCCTCCTCGATAGCGAAACGGATCGGCGGTTACGATTACTGTGCGCTCAGGGTCGACACGAACATCTTGAAAACCCGTAGACGCACACCGGATGCACAATCGGATCTCGTGCACAGTTCTCGGTTGTACATCACCGTCCGCGGCCCCGCGGGCTTAAAAGCACGGCAACGGCCTCGAGCGTGTGTTATACCCGTTCGGTAATTGTTCCGTCTCGAATTCTTATGATATTATTGTATTACGGTCGAGCCACAGGTGAAAAAAAAAAATGCCCGATTTATCGAACGCGAATTCGTTGGCCTTTACGGCTTTTTTTTCACGGGGACGGCCTGGCACCGGTAGAGAGGCGAAGACGTGCGCCCGGGCCGTTGTGCATCACCTAATGGCTAATGCGTCTTAATATTTATTTTAAAATTAACATAATAATAATATGCGTATCGTGTCGATGATATATTTGTATTTTTATATCAAGTTTAGTAGCTATAGACATTGTCGTACCTACACTACAGATCCCGGATTTCACAAAGACATTATGAAGTTAAAACTAGTACGAGTATATGAGTACATCGATATAATGAATGCATATTGCATAATGCATCTTATAACAATACGAATTTCGTCTTAGATTGTGATTAAAATATTGATGGATATGAGCGAGTGGTGTGTATACAAAGCTGAAAAACATATTATGCACTTTGGGACGCTCCAGTACTTCTTCGTCGGGGCCGAAGTACTTCCAGTCCGCATAACAGGCCGTCGTCATTCCATCCACGCGGATCATGATTATTGTTTACTGCGTCATCTCCCGTTGAAAATGCCTGCGCTCGACGCCGCTGGAAAGTATAAGTGTACAGCTAACGAGTATCGATAGTATCCGTAATAACGGACGCACATTTCGAATTATCTTGTCCGTCATAGGCGCTCGAAAGACAGGCGAGTTGCAGGGTCATTTTCCCCGCTGGATTTTCGAAAAATACATTACAAATACTGAAAAGGACTGTACGGATATTTACCGAAATCGTCGGGAATTCCGAACAAATGAACACATATTTGGGTCACTAAAAACTACTCGGATTTCGTCACGCTTAAAATATGTGAATTTTCGGTAATTTGTTAGAAGATATTTTTTTTCTATAGATTACCGGACTGTTTTTATCTGGATAAAAATCACAAACGACGATACGTTGGTTTTATTCTTGACGACAAAAAAAAACACGACTCATACCTATCCAAGGGTGGCAAACCTTTGGCACGCGTGCCAAAAATGGCACGTTGGCCAAATTTCAATGGCACGCGAGAAAAAAGAATTTAATTTATTTTTATTTTTATTAGTGATAAAAAGTTCGAAAGAAACAAATTGTATACATTTTAATAATCGTAATGTTCCTACGGACATTAAATAAGATATTTATTATTATTGTATTATCTTGTAACACTGGAAACAAAAATTGATTAACGCAAGGAAATGTATGGAACAAATAGAAGTTAACCGTCTCCGAGGAAACGGGGGTGAAAAATGCAGATAATGAAATTTTTAAAGCTCGGATTTCGCTTCCAGATACATTTTATACATTGAAAAAAATAGCTCATTCCATGCTTTCAATTTGTTCGTCAACATACGCGTGTGAGAGTTTATGCTCCATAATGAATTCAATTAAATTGAAAGAAAGGAATGGTTTGACCGATGAAACGAGTGCTGCTCGTGTTTCACTAAAAATTACAAATTACATTCCTGACATCAAAACTTTATCTCCTAAGAAACAGCAACAAAAGTCACACTGAAATATAATCATAATTTTTAATACTTACAATTTAACTGTTAACACCTGATCTAAAGATACTGCATAATACATAATTTATAAAATAAAAAACAAACGCGAACTTAATAAAATGTGTGATATTTATAATATATCTGTAACTTTATTTTTCCCGTCAACTTTGGTATTCTCGGAAAATATTTTTTTCTTTTGTTCGGGCGCGTGAAAAATGGCCAAACTCTCAATTGTAAAAATCTGCCGCTTGGCTCAAAAGAGGTTCGCCGACCTATGTACAATACACGTGTATGTACCCGACGGTTCACCGAGGTCCGTTCAGAATCGTTTTCTCGATTGCTGCGAGAACGGTTTATCCGCGGTTGGAAATTCGTCCGGACGTTTCCGTAATAATAAAACGTATCCGTAATGTGTTATAATGACGCGTTCCAATGGGTTCGCCCGCGTAGGAACGCACGGCGATGCGAGACGGCGGTGTTATTGTCGGACGCCGCCGTCGCCGTCAGGTCGTCATCGCGGGTGAAAGCGCATTTTTCGACTCGTGTACTATTGCCGCAATAATATTAAATCATTAAAAAAATATTCTATTGGGTCGGGTGCGTTATTATTGCGCGCGCGTACAGAAACGCGCAACGCGTAAAACGGACGGCGCCGCGAACACGGAAAACCGTTCGGACCGATTTCGAAGGCCCGTTTTGGGCGGAAAAACACTATTTTTATACGGCCCGTTCGGACGAGTATTTTCCACATGTCAGTTGTAACCGAACGTTTATTTGGCGGGCCTTTATAGAAATTTAAAAGCATCGGACCGAAAGGGATGCAAGTTTTATTCGAGTGGCCCAAACGCTAGGCTCCGCCCAACAATTATGCGTACGCGGCCGGGTCGTGTTTCATCCGCGTATCACGGGCCGACCGTATCCGCGTGTGCCGCGATATCCGCGGTCCGACCGTCGAATCACGCGGCGCGTCGGTCGCCCGTCGCTCTGTTATGCCCGCGGTACTCGCCGCGCGCGCCCCGGCCCGAACACACCGGCCGGCCGCGCCGGACATATTCCGTTAATATCTCGCCGGCCGTAATTTAGCCATCGGTTTTCGGAACGCTCGTCCGAGTCGATCGGACGGACCGCTATTGTCGTTTATTTATTCGGGGCGTTTCCCTCCCCTGCCCCCCCCCCACGCCCGTGTACAACAATACACGGGACCGCGGACCGACAACAATAATATTGTTATCTGTCGGGCGTCGTCGGTACGGCAGACATTACGCGCTTCGATTTCACCGCACGCGAACGCACGTAATTACGATTATTGTTGCTGTGGTATTTATGCGACACAGCGGCGGACGTACGTCGTAACAACGGCAACAACGATAACAGACCGTCGCGTCCGGACCGTTATTATGCCCGGCGATTGTTCCGTTCCGACGGCGGCCGGCCGGTCCGCTCGTTATCGCTTGTCGTCGGACGGGCGTTTCAATAGATTTTTTTTTTTTTTTACCAATCTCTCGCCGTCACGGCGGAAAACCCTGCACCCCGTGCTCTCCCCGACCCGCGCCTTCGCCTCGTTTTCAAACGCGGAATAGTTTCCCGTCGACGGGTCTCCGAACGGTCTGGAAATCGCCGCCGGACCGGAGTAGCGAGTGCGCGGAACGGTTCGGTATCGGCGTTTGAGTATAGGGGGTCGCCACGTCCGGGGATTTCGGGCGCGCGGTGTCGGGGCTAAAGCCAAACCGACACAGGCGTCGGAACCCGTCGTCCGCCGCGGCTCGTCCGCCGCGGCTCGTCCGTGGCGACGGTATCCGCCGTGTGACGCTCGCCGTGAATACGGGCGCGGTACGCGGACCGCCGCCCCGTACGTAACGCACGCGCCGCGGCTGTACAAATATCGTTCGCGATACGCAATTATCGCGTGGGCAAACGCGCGGCGAAGGTCATACGGCGGCGCGCTGGAACGAATTTTCACATACGCCTCGCGACCCGCCGCCGCCGCCGGCGATATTATCATAAGAGGCGCCGCCCTCTCGCCGTGCGTTAATAATATTATCGCGATTAGGAGCCGGACAGGGACGCGAGCTCGGGCATCGGTAATAATAACGATAATGACGATAATGACGATAATGATACGTTATTACGATATTTTAATTTGTACGCGTTCCGGTGTCGTCCGCGGCCGTCGTGCCGGGCCGTGCCGTGCGATAATACTGTTGAGACGCGCGCGGGCACGCAAAATAAATAGCGGCCGCGTCGGGTGCTCTGCGCGCGTAAAGACAATAAATAATAACGTATTATCACACCCGTTGCTGGTATAACGTGTCGTGTTGCGCGCGCGCGGCCGGACGGGACGACGTCGAATTTGTTGGCGATCGCGTCGCGGACGATCGTCGTACCACGGCGACAACAATTATTACGCCGCGTTTCGTGACGGGCGGGCGTTTCCGTAACGTGTGTTGTCCGAAAACCGATTTTCGTTTTTCCGCGCGAAAAAAAAACGGACAAACTCGATAACGGTCCGCGCAAAACCGCCGGCTCGTCGCGCTGCCGCGACAGGCGGCGGTGTTTCGTCGTCTGATTTTCGCCGTTTTGGCCAGGGGCATACGGATTCCTGAATTCTCCGCTCGTCGCCGGCAATTGCGCGCGGACTCCCGCCGCCGACGCGGGAATTCGCGCGGGTGGTACGGGAACGACGCAACGCGAAAACCGGCAGCCCAACGGAAGAAACGCGGACGTTGCATTTATCGCGGACGGATCCGACGGCGGCGCGGTCGGCAGCCGCGTCTGGTATCCGTCTTTGGAATTTCCCTTTGCAATCGATCGCGGGGGGACAAAACGATAATCGGGCACGCACTGTTATTATAATAATAATAACACGCGCGTAGAGACGCACGCGTAACGGCCGAGGATTTCCATTCCCGCAGCGGTGACCCGCCGGGGTCGGGTCCGTGACCGACGCGAACGTTCTCACGGCACGCCGACGACGACGGCGTCACCGCCGCAATTTCTCGTGACGCATTTTTCTCCGTTTCCCCGTCGTCGTCGTCGTCGTCGGGTAAATAATCGAAGACGAAGACTCCGTACGGCGAATCCGATCGGCGAATCTCCGGGGCGCGTTGTCACGATCGCGGTACCACAACGGTTCCCGTACGGGAAGCCGAACGGTTCGCCCGTCGCGGTAAATAACGCGCGCCCGGTTCATCGCCCCGTCCGCGACGCGTGTATTCGTTTTTGTTTTTCGTTGTTGCGCAACGATCGGGCGACGGATCTTTATCTCGGCGGGACGGCGGTGAAGGGCGTGTGGGAGGGGGGGGGGAGAGCCCGTGCGAACCGAACCGCCGTCTCTTTCAATGGCGGCGGCGGCGACGAAATCTGTGTCACAAGTACGCAGGCGCATAATAATGATAATATTATTGCGCGCGGTGAATCCGTTTCGAAAACGTGCGCCGCCGTAAACGCGCGATGGTTACGAAGACGACCCTACCGCCTCCGGCGCGTTTTCGTTTTTGTTTTCTGCAAACCCGTTTCGATACGCACGCACCGGACAACCGTGACATTTTGTTTGACACGTCACGTCGTTATTTTTTTCCGTTCATGTTTACCCACCCCTACGAAAAACGTAGGAAAAACGGGGAAATAGGTACAATATTAAACAGATATTAACGGAGACATAGTAATACGTTCCAATTGTTTTATCATAATATGACACGCGTATTGTTGACAAAGCATCGCTACCGACCGAACTTCGCTCAGAATCGTGTTTTCGTCAACAATAATGGTTTACCGTCGCTCGCAGCTATGCGTTGAACCGCCCCTCTGTATCCCACCTTCCAGACATTCCGCCTACAACAGCGGCTGCACACGCGTGCGACGTACGCCCGTCTTTTTAACGACTTTTTAACCGAACCCCCCCACACCCATTGGCGAAAAAAATGTCCAGACCCGCGAACCGTCGGCAGATGCGCGCGCGCGTTGCGCAACGCGCACGGGCACTCCGGCCGTCGCGTGGTCCGTTACGCAATTGTCGTCGTTCCATTACCAATCGACGGCCGGTCGCGATCCACTCGACGGACGGCCGCGAATAGTTGCGCGACGACGAACGGGCGCCTGCGCGAACGGGAATTCGGTCTAGTGGAGATCTCGTCGCCGCGCGCGGTTACGTCACGCGCAACGTTAGTACGGTTATTGGGGTTAAACAAATCGTGGAGGTAAAAAAAAAAAAAACAAATAAATTAAAAACAGATTCGTACGCGTCCTCCCGACGCGTCTTCGGCCGCAGCGTTATTCCGCGTTCGCGCCTTTCACCTTTTCCCCCGTATACACCGCGCGTCGCCGTTATGACAATGCAGTCCCACGGGGTTGTATGGGCGTACGGACGTACGCCCGCGGTACGTTAAATATCAATATATTAATAGATATATGTGTAATAATTTTTTTTTGTTTTTTTATTACGTGTTTTCAGATATTCAAAACAATATTGTTTCGTCCGCGGTCGCCCCTCAATATTATACGATGATCGCCATGAAGACCTGGACGTTCGTCGTCGCCGTCACGCTGTCGTTCGCCTGTAATTATTTCGATTTTAACGTTTACAACACTATGCCGTGTAGATCGATAGTTAACTCGTACGCAAACGCTGAGAAAACAAATGCGCCACATGTGGCGTTTGTTCGGAATAACGGTGTACAGTAAAAATACTTAAAATTGACGTACTCGTAATTTCGGGTGCTTAACGTCGCGACCAAACAGCGGACGAGGGGGGTGAAAAGCATGTTCGTACTGTATTAAGGAGACGCGTTGATCGGCAAAGTGGGTGATTATACCCATAGGAGTTACGATGAAGCGCGTCGATGGATAAGTGAATCGTAGGGTTCTCGTAAGGGACAAGAGGGAACGGTGATAAAGACGGGGAACACGATGTTGGGATCATCGGTATTACCGCCGAGAAGACCGGACATAAAAAATACGGCGGGAGGACACAGCATTTTCGATTTTTCGATTTTTAGCAAGAAGATTGCGAAGGATAAAAATCTATAATGCACTCGATCAATGCGCATTCTATGTGTGTCGCTTGGAAATAAATAGCGTGGAAACGTTGAGCTTGCAGATGAATCCTAAAACTTTGAGGAACGTGTTTGGAAAATAATCTTATTGTAAATAAACGTTAATTTAGTTGTAAAATAAATAGACGGAAAATCAAGAGGAAAACAATTGGAATGGACAATAATTCCGATAGATTTCTGAAAAATTGGGTCCCAAACAGGTCTTTTACTACAACCGGTACCTCTGTTATTGCTCACCATTCACGTATTCGAACCCGATCATTTACTTCACTTTTATTTTCTAGTTCGAGTTATTTATATTATTCTGTACACTAGTTGGGTAATATTAGTATAGCAATAATTTGGGCAATTTGTAACTGAAATTAACATAAAGTTCACAATCCTGGGAACTAAAATATAGTGCATCTATAAATGTCGTTTTGTACTCGTATGTAATATAGGTACGGTGAACGGCCAGAGAAAACCGCCGAATTACCAGCAAAACGAAATGCCAGCCACCAGTTTCACTTGCAAGGACAAAATCATCGGCGGCTACTATTCGGACCCCGAGACATCTTGTCAGATGTTCCACGTTTGCGTCAACGTCGTCGGAACCGGGGCAAGCTATTTTGAATTTTTTTTTTTTTTCAGAATTGGAAATATTCAAAATTTGTGTCACAAACATAATGACGGCCGACGGTATTTCGTTTTACAGGTTCAGGATTTCAGATTTCTTTGTCCGAACAACACGGCGTTCGATCAAGAGAATCAGATCTGTGACGACTGGTATAACATCGATTGCGAAGCAGCAACATTGTATTACAGCGACAACTTCGACCTGTACAGACTCGGTAGGTTACCACCGGTATTTTTCATAATATTTAAGGGGCCTGTGTCGAGATCATTTGATGTGTAGTAGAATTCTGGCAATTTTTTAATCTCTTTTTCCCATTGAACTTCTATTTCTGAATAATATATAATATGTAACCGCCTCCCAGGCCCAAACGACATGAAAATTGATCATATCAAAACTAAAAAAATAACATAAGGTATCGCGTATTATACGTTCGCTATTGCTATTCCACTACCCGATAATACATTTTTAAATCCAAACCCGTTCGTTTTTATTCGCAATCTTAATGATAGGACTTGGATCGGTTTTCTTCCCTGTATAATATTTATTAGTTTCGCATACATAACACAAAATACTACACATATATGTACATTTTTTTTTTAACCGTTAATATACTTTATGTTTGAAATAATTACATAGTCGTTATAGCATTTAGAATAGTATAGTTCTCAATTGTACTCAACGAGTCCCGTAAGAATGTTATCGTGCTAATCATTTTTCAAAAACGACGTCAATATTGCCTATTCGAAACCCCTTAAATACTAAACGTTCGTGTACGGGTACTTGTATTTTTAATATGATTTCGGCATAACTCGGTAGAAGACACGCGTGAGAAACCAAAGAAAACCGTTTAAACGTTCGGTACATTTTTCAGGTTCCGGAGGAGCTGCGGTCACGACGGGCAAAGCGACGCCGATACCGTTAGGACCGTCTAGCGCGTCGCCGAACGTGCAACAGTACCCGAGGTCCAGAAAAACTTCGCCGTTGTCGGCACCGGTGAACAACGCAGTTTCAGAAAACGACGACGATTACTACTTGCAGAGGAGCGACGCGTCCGATAGCAAAGTCCAACACGACTTGTTACGTGGCAGCAGTTCGAGCAACTTTTTCAGCAACAAAAACCGAGGGATCGAAAACCCCGACGACTACGACGACACCGCGAGAGTGCAGGCTTCATCGAAAGACGTGCCGAAAAAGAACGCCAAGGCCCCGTTCAGAAAACTGTTGACCGGCAAGAAACCGTTCGTCGAGTCATCCACGGCCGCCGTTCCGAGCACCACCGAAACCCTGCGCCAGTGGACCAGCAGCACGACCAGCAGTACGACGACCAGCACCACCACGGTCCGACAACCCAACTACAAGGCGACCACGTACCGGAGCAAGGACCGCGGCCGTGTCAACTACAAGACTTACCTGGACAAACAGGCCAAAGTCGACGAATACGACTCTCAAAAATTAGCGAAGCCCGCGACCGTTCAGACGTCGACTTTTGCACCCATTGTGAGCAATTCTTACCAGCCGACTACGGCCAATAGCAACCAGAACGTGCAACAGTACCAGACGACGGCTCAGACCAACAATAATGCCCAACAAGCAGCGTTCGTGCAGCCGAAAAATAACGATTATTTACGTACTGCTCCGTCCAATAGGAACAACGGTTTCCAGTCAGCCAGGATTAACGTAGTGCCAACAAACAACAACAATAACAACTTCCAACAGAACAATAACGCGTTCCCTCAAAACAACCAAGGATTCCAACAGCCAGCCGTAAACAGCGGCATAAACCAGAATTTCCAACAGCAAAACTATAACCAGCAGGGTTTCCAATCGGACAAGATTTTCCCAACGACCACACAAAAGTTCATCAACCAGGGTAACAACTTCCAATCAGAGAAAATTTTCACTACCACAACGCCACAAAACTTCAACCAAAATCCGACCACAAACATCTATCAGACCAATGCGTACCAGCAACAGCAACAGGGTAATAACTTTTTCCAAACGGGCAATGCATTCCAAACGGGAAACACCTTCCAGCCGGGAAACAATGGTTTCCAGACAGGAAACACATTCCAGCCGGGAAACACATTCCAGACGGCCAACACGTTCTCTCAACAACAGGGTAACACGTTCCAAAATGCTGCGGGTACCACAACACAAAAGTACAACACATACCAAACGTCGTCTCCTACGGCCTATCAGCAGTCCACAAACGTTTTCCAATCATCTACGCCATACAACACGGGTAATACGTTCCAGCAGCAGCAACAGATACAACAACAACCACAACAACAACAACAACAACAACAACAACAACAACAACAACAACAACAACAGCCACAATCGACGCAGCAGCAGCCACAATACCTACAGTCCACTACCGAACATTTCTCCAAAGACTTCAAAGCCAAATTCGACCCTTACAACAGCTACCATCAGAGATCGAACGAAGAGGCGGGTGAGTTACTGAAAACGGCGCCCAGCACGAATCTGAGGCCCAGCGAACTGAACGCCCTCGTTCAGGCCAAACCTAAATCGATAAACGCGACACTGTCCGTGGGATTTAGTTTCAACAAGGCCGACGGCGGCGTGGCCAAGTCCACAGTCGTCGTGCCAGCGCCGACCACACAAAAGCCAAGGCCTTTCACCACGACACCGGTGGCCACCAGCAGTACCACGACCAGCACGACTGCTTTTGTCCCTTCCAGCAGTGCTGCCACGAACGCCGCCAAAAAAGGCATATTCAAAGACAAAGACTCGACGTACGATTACGCGTACTACGACGACAGTAATCACAACGATTACACCGACGTGGTGCCTGAAGACTTTTCCAGACTTCACAGCGCAAACTAATTTTAAAATATTATTACTTTTTAAAAAATACTTAACCGTGTAAGTTTTTGTAAATAAATCATAGGTTTATACTCGTATTAAATTGTATTAAAAACAAAAAAAAACAAAAAAAATTCTACTACTATTCAATTTCTTCGGCTTCGTAATTTCGTCATTCAGCGCCGTCTTCACTTTCATCGTTGTCGTCGTCATAATATAGTGGGTCTTTGTTGTCATAATGGCGGCTGTCGTCTCTGTCGACTGTGAGGTGGATTTGTCCGTTTTCTGCATCGTCATCAATGAAGCTGTCGTTCCTGAAGTCACAATCGCCGGAGACGCTACTGCCGGTGTACAGTCGTAAAACGATATGCCGGGAGGCCGTGAATTCTCGGCGGACTTCCGAAGTTCACCGGGCACCGGATGCCGGATCGCTTTGAAACTACCGAGTACGGGACGTCGGTAGGCCGACATCAGACCGTCGTTGACCCGGTCTCACCGGAACATGGCCGTCAGGTTCCACCGCTGGTACGAATACCGTCACGCGGGACATTCGCGACTGGCCGCATTCTTTATCGTCCCCGGTCGTCACCGTTATCGTTCGCCGCCAGCCAGTATTTTCGGCACTGTCCGGTGTCCATGTACTTCATGAAAACGTATCGGCCTCGGTGCCGGTGACACCTGACGGCCGCCCGCCGACTGTGCACCACCCCAGAGGAACGCTAAGAACCGGTAGTCGTTCAGGCCTGCCGAATTATCGAACTTCGCGGTCGGTTCCAGACGATAACTCGTGATCAGATAATCTACGACGTCCACATGCCTGCAGTATGAAAAGTAAATAAAAAAAAGTCCCGAGAATAGAAAACATCGACTGAACGACAGCGGCGGCGAGTGACAAGAGTTACCGCTTTTCGAAAATCAAAAATTTATATATAAATATATTTTTTTTTTAAATGACTGCTAACTTATTTTATTGAAATAATACACACAGCTAAAATTGTACCGTCACATTATATTCATGTCTAAGAGTAAATCCCGAGACCATTTGTGTATTTAGTTTGATCATAATGAACAGTTGATAGAGAAAACCATACAAAGCATACATTATTATTACATTGTATTATTCGTATAAAACATAATTATGTCATTGTAAAGTTTAGCATATTTTATCACTTATTATTGTTAATTAATATTTAAAATGATAATAAAAAAAAAAAAAGAAGAAAACATTCAATTTGATATTTGTACGAATTTTATTGCATTATATTATTTCCCGTGACGAAATGTCATTTAATATTCGACGTATTTAAAAACAAAACTCTCTGGATTTTTAACTATGTGGAACAAAACTACTAATTTTTAACCGTACGGCCTCATTATTCTAAGGCGCGATGGTCAGGCAATCTACAAAACTTATAGACCAGCGGTGGAACGATCTTGATAAATCATCTATAAGATATAAGATATAATCTACTGGGGAACGACAGCTGATATTATTTTTTGTACAATAAAATTTGAATTTTCATATTAAAAAAAAAAAACACGATAGACAGATCAACTATGGTACCTATACTATACCAGTATTATTTTGATTTTTATTGAGGCGTATTCATTTTAGGGCACTAATAATAATTTCCAAATGGTTAGAAACCATCCCATTGACGTTTTGTGCAGTCACTTAAGCCCTACAGCACCGCTTTAGGGATTCATACACGATCATTCATGTTTGACCAAACTTGACGCACGCAATATTGTCAATCTTGAATGACAATTGATTCTCCGGATCAGCTTGTTCAGAATATCGCCAGAGATGTATAGATAAGCAGAGACGGCGTGTAGTTTTTTTTTCGCGGAACGGTTACAGTAAAATAGCAAAAAAAAATAAACCCCCATGACAACCCAAGCCCAGAGAAATGGGTGCTTTAACTAAGGTCACTAGAAGTTCCTGTACTTCACCATTTTCGTTAACTTATTAGCGATAAAGATCCATAACTACGCCTACCCACCCATAAACCATCTGATTTTGTCACGAAGCAGTTGCAGCTTCATAGGATACTCATTCACGCCCCTGCTGGGGTACAGGTTCATAGTAATATTTTGTGTTTATGATTATTGTTTATTGTATTTGATGTTTACAGCGAATACCGTTGTTGCGGTAATTTTTACGATTTTCGTCTAAGTTTGATATTAAAATTCTTATATAAGACCAATAGAATCCTCGGTACCTGCGCTCCGAATTTAAGATTCAGAATTTCGTAAGTTCCTTGAATCATCGCTATGAATTTGGCCAAGAAAATTGATTTTTTAGTGAAAAAAATCGACCCTCCGGTCGTCAATTATAAAGGTATTCTGAACCGTGGTGAATTTGAAAAGTTTTATAACGAACCCAAAAGAAAACTTATATAATTGGGAATGTCTTCACTTCTATGAGTACCTACTTCATAATTTTGAAAGCTCAATAAATAAAAAACAATTTTAGACTCTGAGCGCAGCTAGGAATGTATTGGTTTTCCTTAAATTTTCCTTGGTTGATCCAAAGATAGCTAACTTTATTCTACTGCATTTTGAATGAACACTAATAAAAATGTCATTAAATTCAAATCCTAAATACAATGAAAACCGTTCGCGTGTGAAATGACCGGCCATAATATTAACTGCAAGGAAATTGGTCATTTCAATCGAATATCATCAAGCCACTGAATTTACATCTAAAAGAAATGAATATTAAGTAGTCTACCTGTGGTGCGAAGCAAAGGTGCGAATTTTCTTGAATATAATTAGCTTTATTGTTAATATTGTAATATTGTACCTATTTTCCTACGATTTTTCCATGTGTTTCTTGGTTTTTTACATTTTTAGGGAAAACCAGTGAGAAAATCAAACACAGACCTATTTAAAGTACCTCCACAGTCAGATTTTCTTTTAGAAAATCCGCTATTATTGTGAACCGGAGTAAAATTGCTGGTAGAAAAGTTATTAACAAAAAAAAAATATTTATACCAACTAATACATTAATTTCATATATTTTACCGTCTTTCTTCCGTTTTTTCGTAGGTTTCTACTTTGTTGGAAACATATTTATTTTAATACTGAAATACAGATGTTCTATTATAAAAAGAGCTTTAATAATATTAAGGCACGGTTCTGATTACTTTGTTTAATAGATAATTTAAACAATTTTAAAATAAGTAGCTTACATCGTCGCTTAATTTATAAAAGCGAATTTATTAATTTATTAATTAAAATTTGAAATATCGAAATTTGAAAAATGAGATTAGAAACTAGGTGAGATTTTAATAATATTTTATGATCACTTGTAAAACTACAAAAACTGAGATGCATAGTGTTGCAGTTTTATCGGTGACATTACCCTGTTTGTTTTGTTTTGTTTTTTTTTTTTTTTTTTCAAAAATCTGTTTCCATCAAAATGATGATTATCAATAGTAAAAAATTAGAACATTAAACTACTATGACATTATTAGCATTTAAGATTTTGGACGAAAAAACGATGGCCGAATGAACTTTTTCTCTGAAATGACACTTNTAGATTTTCAACTACGTTAAATATAATATTCGGAAAATCTGCGATTTGTCGTTTTCGTGTTCCTAACACTAGACTGTAGTGCGGTATAAACGCGAATGGCCCGAGCTTTCGGATCAGCTGGAGAAACACAATTTTTCGAAAATTGAATTAAGTTAACTCACGACAGTATCGCTACTGACAACTGAATTATCTACAATAATTTTTCGTTATTATTTTACACTCGTCGGTATTCAGAAAATTTAATTAGCCGGATTTGAGTGATAAACGCCCCGGGCTGTCTGGCCCCTATGGCGATGGCGTTTCGTGCGGAATTCGTCGAGCTATTAGACTATTGGTATAAAACCACCCGGACCCAGAACCATTATCATCAGTGTATCGTTCCATCGTCAACAGATCTACGACTTCGGTTCCTACTAAAACCACTCCGACAACCCAATAAAATATGTAAGTCGGGTGAACTTTTGAAATAGCTCGTTTTTTTCGTATAAAGAAACGAGCGATTTTTATCACTATACGTCTCGTTTTACAGCTAAAACAAAGAAAATCCCTGCGAAAATGAGCGGCACAACATTGAACCCGAAGAAAACCCTGGCCGCGGTCTTGGTGCTGATGGTGATCGGACACGCTGTGGCGGACATGGCTGACGTCGGTATGTGCATCCGGAACTGCGCGCAGTGTAAGAAAATGTTGGGCGCCTATTTCGAGGGGCCTTTGTGCGCGGACGCTTGCGTCAAGTTCAAAGGCAAGATGATACCGGATTGCGAGAACATCGATTCCGTGGCGCCGTTCCTCAACAAACTCGAATAAACTTCCACAAACACTTCTGACTAACTAAAATAGTATTATATTAAATGTACCGAACGTTTTTTAAAAAACTCAATACAAAATTTATCTGTACGATTATAATATTGGAATATTGCATCGTTATCGAAAATAAATCACACCGTACCATGTTGGCTGCGGGTAAAAATTATCTGAAAATCGTATTTGATGTTTGTTATAGTTTTTAATGTTGAAGGAGACCACTGTTCCTTGTTTCACGGTCTCTACAATAAAATAAAACAAAACAATACCCTTGAGTAGCAGAACTTTTTTGTTATAAAGTGGAAATTTTTTTCGTCTTTTTTGTTTTATAAAAATATCCTATGCAAAAAGAATAAATAACTGAATAATACACTTTGAGAGTACTATATTAAGCTCTATAACTATTGTTCACAAACAATTTTAAAATTCTAGAGTACAGAAGGTTATTAAAGTGATTGAATGTTGAAACATTTATAAAACTTTTAATCTTAAAATTCTAAACTTTTAAGTTTTTTTAACTTTTATTCACATGCAAATGCTATGCAAATAGCCTTATTTCATTTATTGGGTTGTGGAATTTATTTCCGCTCTTTTGTATTATGAAAATATTCTTTGCAAAAAAAATGATTAACTGAATAATATACTATAACAATATTATACATATAGCAATATAGTACACAGCAATTTGATAATATTAATATTTCCACAATATTTGAATTAGGTTTCCCCGTAAATATTTGTTTTAGAATATTCTAAAATCATTTTGATTATATATTTGAACTCTGACTATTTAAATCCAAATATACTCAAAACTTTTTATAAACTTCTCAGATAGCAATTTGAACATATTGATATTATCACAATATGTTTTTTTACATGTTTTTATCAATATGAATTATAACGTATTGTGAAAATATGTTGAAAATACGTTATAAGTAATCATTTTAAAATACTGTAAATTAAATATTATAGACACATGGTTTATTCATGTTTTAAATGACATTTAGAATAAAACATGATTTAAATATATACTACAGTATGTGTAAATAAATGCATCTTTTTAATCAAAAAGATAAATAAATAAATAAACTTATAAACATATATTGAGGCGGCAAAATCTTAATATTGATATTTTAGAAATAATTTACCTATCTAAAAACTAAAATATTTTAAAATTTTTATTGTGTTTAAATTGTAAGAGTGTGCCATTGGTTATAATAAATATATAATAATGTTGTAAAATTTCAGGTTTATGTATATATATTTTTTTAGGGGGGTAAGGGGCAGTTTTCATTTTTATATAAGTTACCATATTTTGTTGAACGACAAAATACACCGAAATAACCAATAAACAAAAAAATGGAGGTGGGCGTTCCCCAACCCCTTCCCTCAAGTTTAAGGTGTGATAACATAAGTAGGTACCTATATAATAATATTTTTAAATTGACTTAATAACTTATATTGTCATAAAGTCAACAACTTTACAATTAGGTAAGTAGTCTAGTGCAGCGATCGCCAACCTTTTTGACCACACAGACGAATAAATCTTCCAAATTCTACGGACCACTATAAATTTTATATTGTTTATACAACAAGATACAGGCCCTTATTCAGATGTTTTGAACTAACAGCTTCAGATATTTTTCATAAAAAAGGCTCCACTAATAAAAAAAAATCTATATGTAAAATAGTAACAAATTATTATTTTTTATTTAAAACATAATTAATAAAGTTTTAAAATTTTTCGGCGGCTTCCAAAATTTTCTCGTGGACCACTAAAATTTTCTCGCGGACAACAAGTTAGCGACCGCTGGTCAAGTGGATAAGGTGTTAGGTTAGAGCAGGCAGGATCTCGAGTTCAATACCCGACTGTCCAGGTACTAGATTCCGTTTTCTCTTATTTTTTATTTAAAAAAAAAAAAAAAAAAAAATGTTAGGAAAATATTTAATATTGTATATTGTGTGTAAAATATTTTAACAATGTTTGATTTTCTGCCAAAAAGTGTACTCACAATATTGTGACAATATTTCAATTTTTCTGACAACCATGTACGAATATTCTGAATACATTAAAATTTGTCTGAAAATATTCATATAATATTGTGCAAATATAATTTTGCTATACAATTCACTAACTTATTCCTAAAATAAATGATAAAATTTGAGTGTTAAAATGGTAGGGGAAAAAGTTGAATGTTGAAACATTAAAAAAGTTACGCTTTTGATTGTCGTGCGAACGCTATACAAAATTCCATCCCCTTATTTCATTTATTAAATTATCTGAAGTGATGCGCAAAGTCGAAATACACACTCTTCTCGAAACACGGTGAAATTTATATGACAGCTCAACCCATCGCTTCACAATACGTCACCCTATGGCTTCAATCCGCCTATAAAAATATATTCCATTCCTCGTGTTTGTGCCTATTCGATCTAAAGGGAGCTGATATAAAATCGTCTAAAAGTAGTCGAATAAAAATAAATAAATAATTTATTTATTTATTCAAACGCTGGTCGGATATTACAAGTACATCGATAAAATAGCATTTATTATAACATGTATGGCAGTGTTACATACAGTTATGAACACCAATTTTAAACAATATAATAGGATGCGTAATACAATTCAATTCGATCGAAGGCCAAATATCAAAGTTATTATCGTTTGAGGTTCGTGATAGATCCGATCGAGGGGTGTGAAATATTTCACGGGATCCAGCACGGACCCGAATAATCCGCAGTCGCGTGGGTCAAGTGACGCGGAAGTTCTTCTGAAAATGTAGTCGGTCGAAATAGGTAATTTAATAAACTTGTAATGGCAATAACGATGAAAAATATTGATGACACGATTCTAATTAACATTATCACATTTACTATTGTTTCGTGGGGAATAAAGGGTTAAGTGAAATTGAAGTGTTGGCCGACAAGACTGTAAATATACTCGGTATTGTATCGTGGTAATCATGGTAACACCAATAATGAAAATTATAACAAGGGAATAAATGAATCGTTGAATGAGAAATTCTGTTCGAAAACACTGTAAATATAGTTTCAGTATATCGTATCGTAACAATAACAGTACAAACAACTTAATAAAAGTCATAGTTATCAGCGCGTTATAGCGTACGGTGTACATTAATGCTCGTAAATATTAATCGGCTTAATTATAATAACGATATTTATCATCAATAATTGCATTTACGTATTAATTTACGTTGTCCATACTGTAATATTTACACTGACCGTTTTGATGTTTTGAAATATTCATTTTTTATAACATTTCAATCGAAATCCCGCCGTTCACGAACTCGATGAATTCCGAAACATATTTTTCTCTGGCATTTGAATATACAGAAACGGTTATTGGCGGATTGTAGTTATATTAAACCTATTAACATGTATTTCTCTAATCTGTACAATCCACTGTCATTTCGCTTATTATTTTGTAAATCGCAATACATTTCTGTACATAAAGAATATTATTATTGTTACCTATATACCTTTTAAACTTCCCGCCTGCTACGTAGAGCTGTACGCATGGTGCGTAATACGTCAGACTTTTGGTATTAGTAATTCAATAACTCCCAACGAATACACTAAATTATTTGTCTAGATTTTCAACGGTGTTTAATATATATCCGGTAAATTGGCCGTGGTTGGTATATAACCAACATATTTAGCTCGGTGAGATATTAATAATATTTTACGATCACTTGTAAAACTACAAAAACTGAGATGCGCAGTGTTGCAGTTTTAACGGTGACATTAACCTTGTTTGTTTATTTTTTGTTTTGTTTTTTTTTCAAAAATCTGTTTCCGTCAAAATGATGATTATCAATAGTAAAAAATTGGAACATTAAACTACTCTGACATTATTAGCATTTAAGATTTTGGACGAAAAAACGATGGCCGAATGAACTTTTTCTCTGAAATGACACTTTATTGTATAACCCAACCATACCGCCGTTTTTTTAAAACCCTCGTCTAGATTTTCAACTACGTTAAATATAATATTCGGAAAATCTGCGATTTGTCGTTTTCGTGTTCCTAACACTAGACTGTAGTGCGGTATAAACGCGAATGGCACGAGCTTTCGGATCAGCTGGAGAAACACAATTTTTCGAAATTGAATTAAGTTAATTCACGACAGTATCGCTACTGATAATTGAATTATCTACAATAATTTTTCGTTATTATTTTACACTCGTCCGTTTTCAGAAAATCTAATTAGCCGGATTTGAGTGATAAACGCCCCGGGTTGTCTGGCCCCTATGGCGATGGCGGTTCGTGCGGAATTCGTCGAGCTATTAGACTATTGGTATAAAACCACCCGGACCCAGAACCATTATCATCAGTGTATCGTTCCATCGTCAACAGATCTACGACTTCGGTTCCTATTAAAACCACTCCGACAACCCAATAAAATATGTAAGTCGGGTGAACTTTTGAAATAGCTCGTTATTTTCGTATAAAGTAACGAGCGATTTTTATCACTATACGTCTCGTTTTACAGCTAAAACAAAGAAAATCCCTGCGAAAATGAGCGGCACAACATTGAACCCGAAGAAAACCCTGGCCGCGGTCTTGGTGCTGATGGTGATCGGACACGCTGTGGCGGACATGGCCGACGTCGGTATGTGCATCCGGAACTGCGCGCAGTGTAAGAAAATGTTGGGCGCCTATTTCGAGGGGCCTTTGTGCGCGGACGCTTGCGTCAAGTTCAAAGGCAAGATGATACCGGATTGCGAGAACATCGATTCCGTGGCGCCGTTCCTCAGCAAACTCGAATAAACTTCCGCAAACACTTCTGACTAATTAAAATAGTATTATATTAAATGTACCTGAACGTTTTTTAAAAAATTCAATACAAAATTTATCTGTACGATTATAATATTGGAATATTGCATCGTTATCGAAAATAAATCACACCGTACCATATTGGCTGCGGGTAAAAATTATCTGAAAATCGTATTTGATGTTTGTTATAGTTTTTAATGTTGAAGGAGACCACTGTTCCTTGTTTCACGGTTTCTACAATAAAACAAAACAAAACAATACCCTTGAGTAGCAGAACTTTTTTGTTATAAAGTGGAATTTTTTTCGTCTTTTTTGTTTTATAAAAATATCCTATGCAAAATGAATAAATAACTGAATAATACACTTTGAGAGTACTATATTAAGCTCTATAACTATTATTCACAAACAATTTTAAAATTCTAGCGTACAGAAGGTTATTAAAGTGGTTGAATGTTGAAACATTTATAAAACTTTTAATCTTAAAATTCTAAACTTTTAAGTTTTTTTAACTTTTATTCACATGCAAATGTTAAGCAAATAGCCCGATTTTATTTATTGGGTCTGTAGGGGTGTTGAAATTTTAAATTTAATCTTCCCTCGAAACATGATGAAAAACATATAAAAATTCAATGTATTACTTCAAAATATTTCGACCTATCACTTCAATTCATCTATAAAAAAAAGTGTACTCACAATATTTTGACAATATTTAAACATTTTCTGATAATCATGTACGAATATTATAAATATATTAAAATTCGTCTGGAAATATTTGTATAATACTAGACGCCTAATAATCACTGACGGTGTAACGTTGATGAAACATAATCCGTTCTGGATTCTAATTCGATCTAAATTCGTGATTCGCGATCGTAACGGACATAACAATCAGCTCTGGACCTAGAAAAGCGTGTCTCCCGACACGAAGCGTGTTCCGCGAAAATCCAAGTGCGCCCCCCCCCCAAATGTATGTACCGAATTTAATATTGGTATGTATTCGTTTTTAATGTAGAAATGTTTTCGAAGATGATAACGGTCAATTAATGAGATCACTCTATCCGATACATTGGTATTTATTTTAAATTATATTATTTTAGTAATATTGTTTAAACTTTTACTTTTTTTGTGTCGATAATTTTTAGTATACACTTATTAAGGTATAAATATTATTAATGTATAAGTTATGTAGTGACATTATTGTTTAATGAGCTACGTCCTGCCATAGGTTTTTTTTTTTTTTTTTTTTTT